GCATGCCCCAGGCGTGGAGACGACATGCTTGGCCCGCCTTGAAGGCAGGTTGAGGCATGACGGAGCAAGCCCAAGCCGCGGCCACAATGGCCCGCCCGGCCTCTAATGTGATGGACCCCGAGATTGTTCAGCGCGAAGCATAAACAAAACTGCGGGCAGTGCGGTGGGCACGTCCGGTTCACAAAGAGCATGCAGTGCGGTGGGCATGTCCTCTATGTTATGCATTACAAAAGCATCGTACTAGTAGAAATCGCATAAACAAATTTTTCCAAGAAGAAAACTGGATTTTCTCATGCTGATTCAGGTAGGAAACCAGATTTGTCATGCTAAACTGCAATTTATGCGAGTGCGATACTTTTGCACAGGATACATGTCCGGGTGGAACAACTACAACGACATCAGCTGCATCCCGGCCGACGGCGAGACGTTCCGGCAAAAGTCACAGTTCAGCATCGTCGAGCAGCACCGCTTACGGTTCAGTCCCAATTTCGGCGGTGGGGGGAGTGAAGAGAATCTTTCTCCGTCCATACACAGTTTGAATTCCTCCCAGGACACGCAGATGCGGATCGGGATTCGAACCCCGCTAGTGTCACAAGACAGCGAATACAACAGTACCAGCAGGGACAACTCGCCTAGAAGGACAGGTGGAACATCTTCAATGGCGGTGGAAGTAGACAATATTAACAACTCCAAAGCAGGTACAACTTCTAGACCGTCGCCCCGGGCGGGAGGCACGACAGCAGCTGGTGCGTCGTACAGGATGTTTTCGCACCGATACGCGAACAGGCTGATAGAGGACCACGACAGTGCAATGAAGGACGGAACTACGAGACAGATGAACCAGAGTGCGAACAACAACAATCAACTTCTTTCTGTGGCTTTATTAAATGCCATTTCCGAGAACACGAACGACATCGAGGACGACTCCGACATGCACACGCCGAACAGCGAAAACAAGAACTCCACCTCCCGCAGCCGCCAGGTATCCGCGTCCTCCGCGTCGTTGCGGAATCGCAACCTTTACCTAGATAGTCTCGACAGCAGCGATGAGGGCGGAGGAACGAACAGCAACAGCCTGAGTTTCAACGCGAGCGGCTCCTTCGGCGATAGCACATTAGGGAAAAATAAGACCAGTCAGCAGTTCTTTGACTTCTCGCCCCCGCAAACCAGGGGCAGCAATGCTGGTACTAGTGCTTCAGTGCAGAGCTTTCTCGGTGCTGGCGGAGTTGGAGGTCCGCAAGCTCAGCCTCAGGTAGAAGACAGAGAAAACATCAGCATGATGAACTTCTAGTAGTAGTGGAAAATTCGGTTGTTCTATCGAGAATCGATGTCCTCTTACATAGAACGGCGAAAAAATAGGTTTCAGTTCGTGAACTGCTGGTGTCAAGCTGCAAGATGAACATTCTGGCGCTTTTTATTCGATGCTGCTTGTAGTCTCGTGTTTCGCGAACGGAGTGTATAGGTTTCATTTTCAGTTGAAATAATCTGTGCTCTGTCTGTTTCTTTCAGCGCCCTTTTCCAGTGCCTGCTATGTTTGACAAGCGAGGGCGCGGGCACTCGACCTACATTTGTGAATGTGTTCTATTGGATAGCAAAAGCAAGATGCATTTGCATTCGCATTTTTTGCTATTTGTCTTTGCTTCGTGGCGTTGCGTTTTCACTATAACAATCGTTCCGTTCTTTTGCTTACTTGTAGTTTCGTTCTCCTGTATTACGATGAATGGGCAACAAAGTGTCTCGTTGTCGTTTTCCTTTGTTGTCGTCGTCTTGGTGTTTTCCTTTCTTGTTCGTCTATCACCCTGTCGTCATCGTTGTGCTGCTTAGATCGTTCGTGTTAAATAACGAAAAAAAACGAGAACATTAGTGAGTCGTAGTCGTTCTTCAATCATGGTCGCAGTATTGTTGCGCGATCTTTGATCTGATTTGCGACTGAAAAAATCAACAAACTAACAGGCCGAGCGAGGCTTCTAGTAATCTCCCCTCATGGCAATTCGCAACTACATCATCTGTAATCTAGCATGACTATGATCATGATGGTGCAAGCAGTCCACAACTGTCCTTGCGTGCAAAACTAAAAAGTAAAAGGTACTTTGTTCCTCGTCGTGCTGTGGCGAACGGTAAAAATATGACGCGTGTTGAAAATCAAAATTCGCAAAGAACAAGGGTGCGACCAGTGGGGTATGTGTTTTGTCCCGAGAAACAAGTGAAAGATCTCGGTCTTCGAGAGTCGAAGGTGGATGGAGGTCATCTCGTGGCGGCAAGCTGTCCGCGCAGCGCGACCCCGAGAACCCCCCGACCAGTTGTGTCTGTCGACCGAGCGTCGCAGTCGCGCAGCAGCAAGGAGCGCGTGAGGCAAGCGAGGTTAAATCACGACCTGGACCAGATAAAATGGATTGGGCGACAGAAGAGATGGTTGTCGGGGGCATTGGGAGAAATGCAGCCGCAACATCAAGGGATAAAGACTGGTAGCCCACGACGAACTCACGCTGCGGGCACGACTTCTACTAGAGGAGGTCGAGACAGGACAGAAGATAGAGACAAATATAGAAGAACGACTCCGCGACCGCGTTCATCTGGTGAAATAAAGAAAAAGACCGGAGCTCCTGAGCATCGCGGCCCTCCTAGAAGCAGCACGATAATTGCATCCACGAATGTATCAACCGAGAAACAGATCCGCACGATCGTCGCAACGCGAAATCGAGTACAAGAAAATTGTTCGCCTCGCTGCTCTACCAACGAAAACGATCAAGGTTTGAGCTGCGTATCCGTGTCGGGAAGTTGTAAACGTGATTCTTCCGAATTACAGCAGAAATTGCGCGAGGAGGATGAACAGGTACAGGAGGACATCAAACATAGTTGCCCGGTAAAAGCACAAGTGTTCGACATGAATATGGGAGACGATGATCATATTGATACTCAGAGTAAGAAATCACTTGCGGCTGTCGACCAAGAGCAAGCAGACCACAACACAGTTCCAGTGCTCGTTCCAACTATTCGTGCCAGCGAAAATGATGATGTCGACAGGGACACTTCCGCGAGAAGTAGAAGTAGAGCGCCACAACAGCGTCCAGCAGAAATTCAGGTCGTGCCTGCTACGACGGGAACTGTCATTCCGAACATCCTTTATTTTTCTTCCGCACGGCTCGACGAGGGAGAGGACTACTTCACTCGGAACAGTAGTAGTACTTTCTCTGCGCAGCTATTAGTGTCGAACGCTAGAAAGGAAAGCAAAAGCAGCACCTAGCAGTGTAGACAGGTCAACACAGCCTCTCTTTTCTCGCTGCGATGAGCAGCAGCAGTGCGGCATCAAACCATTCGGTGCTTTATTTCGAGGCGGCCTGGAACAATTATCGGGGAACAAGAAGTTCTCACACCCGAATCTTTTGACGGAGGAGAATGACAGGCGGTTGCGTACCGCCTTGCAACAACTCTACCTCGGCACCGCCACCGGGTCAAGGCTGCTGCAGCAAGTGGGTCTAAAGGCGGCCAAAAAGCGACCGGTTTCACCTTATCTACGGGGATGCACAGAGAAGATGCAAAGCCGCTTTGTGACGCCGAGGGATGGCTTCGAGAATAGCTAGATTGATAGCTTTTGGCGATCTTCCGCGAATGGGACTGTGAAATAAACGTCGTGCCCACGTTTTGTTTTGCACATCACATATGACGTACACGTAAGCAAATGTCATTCATTCCAGTAGTTTACTGTAGTTTGCGATTTTATCTGCTGCCTGTCTAGATATCGATGCATCGAGCACTGTACAACAAGAAAAAACAAAAATCTATGCGTCACTTAACATCAGAATCACTAAATAAAGGAATTTTGTCAATGTCTAAACGCCACTTCACCCTTGTTGCGGTATTGCAAAAGCTAGTAGCTGCTTGTGTGTGTGTGTTCTGGCTAGTTCTTTTGCAGAAGGCTGCAAAAGCAGTGATCCTCCTTTAATGCAACGTGAAGCAAAAACAAAAAAATTTAAGATCTTTTTTTTAGCTGTACTTTCACTGCTTGCTGTAGTGAAGATACGATTGAAAAAAGCATTCACCGTGCGTCGAAAGCGAAACAGATGCAGGTGCAACGTACGATGTCGATACAAGTCGCGTGCGGGCGGAGATCTTCATTCTAACGAAGCGATTCGATTTGTTTCTGAATCCGCATTCGCTCCTCGGCGAACCCAGCGTGAATGTTCTCCATTGGTTCTCTGCATCCCGGCAGTTTTTGGTCCACCGCCGTGCGTCATATGAGACAGAATTTTTTGTGAAATTTTCAACAATTATTAGATCGATGATATGACCCATGTAGAATAGCGAAAGGCCTTACAACTTTTTCTTTTTGTGTTTTGAATAGGTTTGTTTCTTCAAAAAATTATTAGTTTTGGATATGATCTTCAAGCCGTACGAAAAAGATTTTGGTGCACCAGTTCACTAGCTTCTAGTAGTGGAAGATCCTCCTTGCGCTACACCTCCCTGTAGATGCGTATAAAGGATACAGAAGAATAAACTGAAACGAGCCACAGCCTGATCATCCCAGCGAAGTAAAATCGAAGCGATGCATCGGCTGAGAACTGCATCAAGCGAAAACTGTACTATGCGGCAGTCTTGGTCCTCTGCCAGACCCTCATGCGGCGGGGGCAGGAGTTCATCTTGCCTTGGCGTTGGCATGAAGCTTTTTGTCTCGAGTTTCATCTGTTTCGGCTCTGGAATACAGACGTCGCTGGCTACATTGAATGTTGAGGATGTTGAACCCGAACGACGAGGGGATGGGTCGACAACGGAGATGAATGGTACGCCTGCTTCGCGGAGGTCCGACTCCGGTCATTCGAATTACAGCGAAGCGCGGGGGGTCGACGAGCATGTACAGGTGGAGGATGGTGGTCCGTCTCCAGCGCGGCATGATCTTTCGCACAGAACTTCTTCTACTTCCTCTGCCGCAAGTAGAACAGCGCCTGGACGACCACGAGAGGGTCGTGAAGAAAATTCTTCCTCCCCGCGAGAAGTTGTCGCCCCGGCAGATGAGCCAGAATCTCTTTCTGGCACGACCAAAGGAGTAGACGGCGTTATTTTTCAACAACATCAAATTAGCCACGCTACTTCAACATCCTCTCAGCACGTGGTTCGTAACGAAAACGAGTGGGCGGCTCATGCCAGAACAAGCACGCAAGGTGGATCGTGGGCGCGCACTAGACCGAGGAGCGACCACTTCGAAACGAGTCAAGAATCCTCGCCACAGGCCCGACACATAGTCGGACGCACGAGCGGCGGTGTCGATTTTCATAGTAGCGTTGTCTTCGGACAGCGGCAGATGGGGAAGGCCGCACAGCGCGAGGAGCGCTGGACCCAGGCAAGGGATCACGATCGTCCGCATCAACATGCTGGACCGCGATTGCACGGCGGGCGATCCTCCGCGACGTCCAACAACAAAGCTGCCACGGATCATTTTAATTGGAAACTGCAAGACCTTTCCCAGCTCGGTGAATTCACGGGCCGAATCGTGACATATTCGAGCAGCCACAAGTTGGGAAAGGTCCTTCCCCTCCGCTCCTTGCTCGGGTTCGCGTACATTACGCCCGACACCCTGCTTCCCCTGCAGGGCCTGCCAGGCATCAAGTACCACCCGGACGACGATGTCAACGCGGTTATATCAAAAGGAAAAATCCCCCCTCCCCACATCAAAAGGAAGTCTCTGATGCTGGATTTGCGTACATCACAGATCAGCTTTGTATTGCAGAGAGGCACTTCGGGCAGATCTCCAGGCTAGTTAGGGGCGTACGTGTCTAGTTGTTCAGCATGGCAAGCGGGTCACTTTTAGGGCCAACAGCATGACAAATCGCTTCCATAGTGGGGCGGAAGCTTCTGCCCTTGTCTTCTTGCAATACAAATGTGATTTGCGACCTCAAATCAGCAACGCAAATTTTCGGAAGCATACCTTTTCGATATGGGGAGGGGGGATTTTTACTCAGGATAGGTTAGTGAAAATATTCACACCTACGTCGCGCGGGAGATCAGCGACTTGGCATATCAAATGTAAAAATGTCTGGGTCTGGAAGATTAGAACTTGTCATGCTAAATCCGAATGATGCAAAAATCTGTGTTGCGTGAGTGCCAAAAGCTGCCCGCTTTTGCCCAAGTTGAGAGGGAGTTTCTCATGCAGGAAAGGCATGATGGAGACCTCAAAGAATCTGTCATGCTGGGTCTCGCATTGCAGACCTCATGGGTCATGGAAAACCTGCATCACAAATCTTGCATTCTTCCAGACCCAGACATTTTTACATTTGATATGGCACAGGACGACACCAACACGTGCTGGACCTCCACCGGAGCTTCGCTCAGCACCAGGTACTAGTACTTCATCCTATGGGACGAGTTGGAAAAAGTACTGCTATACTCGGCTCCTGGTTTCTCATCAGGGAGCTGAGGATTGATTTCGGTTGGACAGTGAGTGAAAGCAAAGCGAAACAAACAAAGGGAAAGCAAATTGAGCTCTGGTGACTATTTGTGTTTGTGCTATTGATATGTCATTCACGCTATGAGTATGATTCGTTTGTGTACAGAGAGATGCTTTTCTCGTCACCAAGATGCGAAATTGTATTTCTTTGTCCGTGCAACTACGCTAAGGTGCCGGCGCCCCCACATTCCGCTCTCGGTGCCCATCCCGGTACGCTTCGGACTGATTCGCAGCTCGCACACGCGGTCCGGGTTTGAGGCGGTGAATGTGCGCCAGATTAACGGGATGCCGGTTCCGATCCACATCTATGTGAAGGAGCTCTGCACCTTTCAGTATTATGACGATGGAGAGGACCACGTCGAGCAGCTGCCAGGAGTCAGTAGTACTGCAACCGGATTCTCGCAGAGCAGTAGAGGTGCGGTTGGAGCAGCCGGTCCCTGGACTACCGCGCCGCGCAAACATCGATTTCTTCAGCAACTACCCGCTCACGAAATAAACGGCAGAAAAATGCAGCAGGATAAAACTCCGTTCCACGTCGAAGACCACGGGCGAAACGCGTTTCCAGGGGCCGCCGGCCTATGGGGTCCTTGGCCAGTGCAGGAGGCGCTCGACGACATTACTGCGGCTGACGACGACAAGATGGATGTGGATCTTCTCAAGGAAGAAGACAAAAGAGAAGTTGCACTGAATTTACAACCGGGCCGCGCGGGCCACCCCGATCGATTGGTTTATCTGCCAGATAACGAAGATGAGGATAAGGACCGTTCCGCATTCATGCCGCTTTCTTACTCACGGAACGCCGGGCTACTTCAGCTCGTCTGAGATCCCGAAAAGATCCTATCAAGATATTCAGGAGCATTTTCCAGTGGAATTCGGTCGGGCATGGGGCCACTTTCCGGAGTTCACGGCCGCCGCCTTCATTCTCAAAAGCTCCGATCAAATGCCGATCAAGGTCCTCTCGGATGCCACTTTTTTTGCGCCGCCAAATCCATCGATTCTAGTCGTGGGAGAGGCCAGGAGAAGCGGCAAAAAAAGTGTCCTCTGGACAGGATCTTAATCGGAACTTGATCGGAACTTTATCGGATCTTGAACGGAACTTTTTAGGAACTTTTTTCTCGCCTCTGACGCTTTTGCCATACCGCCGTGATTGGAGACTTTGAACCTTGGTCGGATCCTTGGTCGGATCTTTTGTTTGGGGTTGCAGAAGTGGCCTCTCTACCCTTGAAACCAGGGCTGTTTCTTTGATTTAACAAATTCAGCGGATTCGTTTTTGAATCAAAAAAAAAACTCGCTTTGGGGCTAGTGCGCCGTCTTTTGGTGGACCATTTCCGACCTGGCCTTGCCCTCGGGCTCGGGTATTTCTGGCCCATGGAAGCGGGATGGACCCTGCGGACGGGGGCATGCAATTCCGTCCATTGCCGGGCCCCAGATTGTTCCGCGTCGTGCCAGGGCTTTTACAACCGCGCGACCACTCGCTCGCCCTTGTTGGGTGTGGGCATTCGTCACTCCCAGCGAGCTAGCACCTGCGGCACCGCCCGTGGGGCGTCTGGTCCTTTCTCACATCTATCATGCCATCGTGTAACGCGCGTTACACGAGCGGTCTATGCTTCCCGTTCGTCTGCAAGTTGTCGCAGAGGCTACAGAGGGGCGGGCGCTCCGAATCTTTCCGACCCCTCCCCCTGGAGTGTCGAGGGTGATCTTTCCAGGATCTTAATGGGACCTCAGGGCGTCGTCTGTGGCCCGTCGTGCCGCCAGTAACTTTCTGAGGACAAGGACCGTTCCGCATTCATGCCGCTTTCTGAGGAGCACGGAGTAGGAAGTGACTATATACCCAAACCGGCGTGTTTGGATTTCGCCGGTTTATTGAAATTTCCTCGATAAGTATTGAGTCGCCACTCTTATCTATCCCACGAAAAAAGTGCTATACAGTTACACACTTGTAGTGAATTCAGTTCAGCAACACAAATTTCTTTGCATGAGAGAAAACCTGTAATGCAGAAATCCTACGGGAAAACACATACGAAATGAGGCTCCTATGTATATCCGGCATGCCAGAGCTTGTCTGTCTTGCTTGGCCTGCAACGCAGTGTGTAACTGTGCAACTTTTTTCTTGCAATGTTATCCAATTTGTCGGTCCTGCTGCTGTGCATGTTGGGTCAAAACACCCAACCTGCGAAATTTAATTTTCTGAGCCCGCTTTTTCACAAAATAAAACTTTCGCAACATGTTGCCCCTCAGCTGAAAATCGCAAACAGAATCCGAATTCCCCCAAAACAAATTAACCTCAGAGCCGCGGTTTCGCCTTCGGGCCCCGCTTCGTTGTGGCCCGGGTGTCGTAGGGGTAGGCCCCCCACGACATATTCCGACTGCCCGCGCGCGATGGTGTGCGTGGCAGTTGCTTGGGTTTTTCTGTGTTACGTCACCAGGCCAGAGATGGCTACTTGGTTTCATTTTTGGAACCCTTCCGATGTTGATTGTTTTCATTTTCCGGATTAGACAGAGACTGTCTTCCGACTTTGATAGAGACGCGCAGGGAGCTGATAACTCAGCGAATGGCTGTGCCCTGGCGGCCATGTCAGCGATGCGGGAAAGAGCCAGAAGCTAACCGATGTCGATTACTCTTTTTGTAGTTGTGCCAGAGAATGGGAATACAGCGAAAGAAGTAGGGGCATGGTGAGCTTCGCTGGCGCAGGCGCTGAGGTGGGGAGGGGATTTGGAGGCGCGGCGTATGTTCATATAGGTGGCGTTTCGTATCAATATCTATTGAGGATTTTTCAATATTTCGAACAATGCAAACACGCATGTTTGGCGAATAGAGGATAAGGACCGTTCCGCATTCATGCCGCTTTCTGAGGAGCACGGAGAAATCAGCACAGCCACGGGGCAGAACTCGATAGAAGAGGAGCCCGAGCCGACGCCAATGATACCTTCGGTACTTTTTATTGTAAATGATTGAAGAAGTTGAGCTTGAAGTTGATCTGATTGCGTACTTAGTTATTTCTCATGCAGAAGCTTCAATATCAAATGCCAAAGAACAAAGTGAGGAACTTAACTTCGTCGTTGTGTTGGCTGTAAAGCTAATATAAACTAGATGAAGTTCTTGAACTTGAAGATAACTAACACTATCGCCAGGGTTGCCCTACCCCAGAGGAAGTGTATTTTTCCACCACCACGGAGCGGCACAGCCCGCAGTCCCACGGGCAGCTGGCACAGGGCCTATCCGCTCGGTTGGCGCTTTTGAAGAGCCAAGGCGGAGCGAGAGACGAATTCATAACAAGAGCGGGTGGTGGTGGTTCAGATTACGTGGTAGCAGAGCACCAGCCCGGCGGTGATTTGCATGTTTCGCGCGGAGGTCCGTGCGCAGCAAGCGTTGGTGGAGCTTCCGATAGTGCTAGCGTCGCAACCAGGTCGTGGACTGCAGCTCAGCAGGAGACCACGAGAAGTCAGCAGATCCGAAACGCGGATGGAGATGACCGAGGAGACCGCACGACGCCGCTTCTTTCCCGAGGAGGACGAGGAGGACTGGATATCCAGTCGCCAGCATCCAATTGCGTCGCCACTGCGGTGTCAATCGGTGGGGATAATGTGGCTCTGCTTCGGCCAACGAGCAGCTCAACAGCACATCACGTGACCGGAAGCGGACTTTTGCCGTGTGGTACTAGTTTTTTCGGGCAGAATTGCTGTGTGCTTGATGGCTCTTCGATGGCGGCAAGAAGTGCGATAAACCAAGCCACTGCTGCGCAATGGTTTCAAAGTGGAATCATGACCGCCGCTGCAGCGATGTCCGCATATCAAGCAGCTGCGCAGCAGAACATGCAATTTGCCACGGCGGGAACAGGCGGTGTTGTGCAACAGTCAGGTGGTCCTGTCTCGCCGAGCGTTTCTTTGGGCGGAACTTCCGGAACGCCTACAGCTGCAACCAGGACCCCTAGCAAGGAGTATTGTTACAACAGCCCGCAGCATCGGACTTCATCCCTATCGCTTCCCGGTTCTGCAGACGACGCTGCTGGCCGTCCGGCGATGGACGTCGCGAACGGCAATCGGTTCGGTCTCAACCATTCATCTCCGATTCACGCGACAGGATCTCCCACGACTTCGTCGCCCAGCTCGTCCTATGCGTGGAATGGGTCTACTTCCCTTCTTGCGCCGCCGCCCTACGCAGCTCCCGGCAGCCCGGCCGGAAGTTTATTTGGGTCACCGATCGCGCTCGCGGGAGGCGGCGCCGCGGCCCACAGTCCTCCTCCATTTGGAGTGTGGCCGACCAGTCCGCAGGCAGCACATGGTGCAGGGCAACATGCCAATCACCAAGTAATGTGGGTCCCAGTTCCGGTCGTGCAAATGCCACTATCGCCCATGGCCCAACAGCCAGGACGAGGGAACTATCCGAACACCCCTGGGATTCAGCCCGCGGCAAGCGGCCTGTAGGAAAAACTGGTTGAGGGTGTTTGCGCAGGTTTAGGGTGTTTGAAGCATTATTTCATGATGATAGTAGATGTAGATATGATATCGTTTTCGTTTAATTCTTCGATTGGAAAAATGCAAACTTTTCTTTGAGTTCCATAACAATTAACAAGCTTCAACAAAGTCCGGCTAAAGCGATGGCCGACGGTTGCAAACGAAAGTTGGGTGCAAGGTGAAGAAGGACGCAATAAGAATATAGGCCTACTTATATACTACAATGTCAATGTCTGTAGAAAATTTTGGCGCGCAAGAATTTACGTTAACCTAAACCAAAAACTTTTCGTTGAACTATAACGTAATGCGTTGAGAACACTGCAGCATTTCTTCCTCGGGTCTCGGGTCAATTAAGTACCCTTCATCTGCTGATGCAGCAGAGAAACTATAAAATTAGCAGGAATTGAGCCCCGACGTTTTTGCCCAATAGTCCCTGAGAATACAAGATACCGCTTGCGCTTGGTTCATAGCGAAAGTGTGAGCAAAATTTAGGTGTATCTAATGTGTGTATGTTTCCGAGCATGTTGTACAGGTTCGTGTCATCGATCAATCGGATCTCTGTTTCTTCAGCTGGTCCGTCGGCGTGTTTCCTCGCGCACGCGCAGAAAAGAACGACGCAGCAGCACCCGTATTGACTCAAATCGCAAACAGGCTGGAGGTCCATCATTTGAACTACGACTACGGGTAGATCGACTTTTCAAATGATCCTGATGGTTGATTTTGAAAAAAATGATCTTCAGGCTCAGCCACCGGCAAATACAATTTTGGTCTTCTCGCCAGATGAATGATTATGGCAGCAGCGAAAAAATGTGCTCCAAGCACTAGCACTTCCATAGAGCAGTATTTGAATACAACCGCTAATGTACTGCTGGAAGTGTCCACCTATTCGAGCCGTTTTTTTGTAGGCCTGCTCCTAATCCTATACCTTTACCTGCATATTATCATGTGTGTGCTCTTTGTGGCTGGTGAGGTCGTGGTTTCTTTTTTCTCGTGGAACTAGATACCAGTGGTCACTCATGACTTCATTTTCCTCGCGCAGCAGCCGTGGTGTGGGAAGTCTTGCAGGCCGTACTGGTGACTCTCTCGGTTCGGACGCTCGATTCCATAGTCCCTTGTTTGAGCATCCGGCTTTGGGTCCTACGGCTGCACCTCCCGCTGCAACTTCGCATCATTATACGGACGGAAGCGGAAAAGTGATGTGGGGTAGCACGACGAGTGGGAAGAGCCACAACATTGGTCTTTTTGCGAAGGCGCCTCCAGTAGTGGGAGCAAGTTCGGTGCACGTGACGGCGCGCGACGGTGAGCACGCGAGTCAAGAACTACATGCTGGCCCGATGATTGCAGCAACAGAAGCCGGTTCGGCGAATGGGACGACTTCTAACCAGCACAATGATCAAGCACATCATCCGCTGCCGGAGCGCGAAGCACCCGCGGGCCCGCCCGCACCGTCAATCCGCAAGACCACGGCGCAGCTGTTGTATGAAAAGCAACAAGCAGCTCAGTTAGCGGAGCAAGAGGAGATAAATCAGCGGCGGGGTGGTCGTCTTGCGACTGGCCAGCAGCGGACATCAGGGCCTCAACGTGGGGCAGGAGTTGCAGCTGCTTTTGGAGGTAGAAGTTGTACGCAGCATGATGTTGAACAAACTATAAACCAACACAGCGGCTCCTTCCCCGCCCTACAACATCCACGGCGACTGAACAGCCAGCCACGTCGGGGTGTAGGTGTAGCCGCGTCGCAGCCCCAGTCCGCTTGCAACTCCCGTCGAGGCAGCGGTGCCTCGCTGGCTGCCGCAAAGCCTGGGTACTACTCGAACCATTCCACTCCCGGCCCCCGTGGTAATATCGGGCCGAACCGGGCTGCATCTCAGCAACCGCACCACGCATATAGTAATTTTCGTGCGTCGTCGAACAGTGGTGCAGCTTCCGCTTCCCTTAAGCGGCCCGGCGGATCATCTTCCGCGGGAGGAGGAGGTCCTCTTTACAACGACGAAGACTCGCAATTTTCGAGGTCCCAGAACAACACGCCGGCCGCCAAGCGCCCTCGGAGGCCGGAGCCTCTACTGCGGAGGAGACCTGTTGAGGAACAAGTGCTCCAGTTTCACACCCTGCACGCGAATGGGGGCGATGTCCACTTGCCGACTCTGGTCGACGAAGGCGAAGTGTTTGTGGAAGGACAGTGAAGGACTAAGAAAGTACTTAAAAAGCGAGCAGTTTCTGTGAATTTATAGCGTTACCATCACTTAGCGACGACGGGTCCCGCCCCCGGCCCTGGCCCACCCCCTCAAGTAGAATTCTGTAGTAACACCACCGCGACTTCTTCTTACACCAATCGAGGAATCAAGTACATTCAACACGTACCTTTGGTACGCATTTTTTTGCTGCTATATTGGAGCGGACAAAAGGGACGCGGCTTTGCGAACGCATAGCAACACGAAGAAAAAATATCAAGCCCGTTCGTGTTGGCCATGCGAAGCTAGTGAGTATCGGTGAGCTTCACATTCAAAGTTCGGTTGTATGTACTTTACTCCTAGAATCTACTCTTGCGTCGAAGTCGATTTGTATTTGTTGAGTTCATCGGTTTGCCGCGAACAAAACACGTCGGTCCTCTGTTTTCGAACAAAGCAGGATTACACGAACAGAAAAGCTGGCTGTAGTCGGTTCTTTTGCCTAGACACTCTAGAAAAGTCTCGGTATCATCGTTCATCATGACAGGAGACCCCACAAACATTATTAGTACTTGACTTCGGTGGGACAATGGATGAATGCATGAATGTGCTGGTCGGTGACGTGAAAACAAAAGTCGTCGTATCAAACTAAGTACAATCGTGCAAGGGGACTCGATTTAATGTTTTTGTCGTCCTGGAGGGGAAAAATCGTTTTCGAATCGTGCATACAACATGGCTGTTGTGCTACTCGTACTCGCTCACCGTGCTAGAGCTAGATCGTCGAACGCTTCCTCGTCCGGAGGTGTGGCTTGTGGTTCGTTGCAACTTGAATCAAATTTCGATTCGACCAGCGAAATCTGTCCCCCATTTTCGCTTTTTTTGCACGTCTTTTTGTCTCCCTGCATAGCTTTATTTTTTTTCTGACCCCCAAGCGCTCCGGACGACAGTAACCAATCGCGCTGCAATTTCTTTGTCGTACCGGAAGCGAAGAAACAAGTTCACATTATCCCTTTCTTTTTACTAATTCGTTCAAAAACATTTGAATTCAAGATGCGGTCTTTCTTCATTCACTGTTTTATCGCCCTTTTCGGCACCCAGAGTGTTGCCTATGGGACCAGAGTGCATGTTGTGACCCCGACCTCGGAAAAGTCCACGCCCCAGGAACCTAATGGCGCACAGGGTTCGGGGGGAGTTACCGACAAAAGCACTCCACAGGTAATATTACATTGATTTGTTATGGCCCTCGTCTGTTCTTATTGGCGCTTTTTCCATATGCAAGAAAAAGTTAATTATCTTGGCCGGCGCGCCTTAAACGGACGGTTTTAATTCTTTGAATTTTACCGACACCGAATGAATATCCATATTCCACTGTTTCTTCCTCTATCTTTCCCAATATTCTGAAAATAACTCACAGGAGAACGACGGCGGCAGCGCCCCTTCGGGACTCGGGTGGGGTCGGTCCGTGGGTAAGTTGCCGGGCTACGCCGCCACCACGGTCGGCGTGATGGTTTTACTTGGTTTGTTGTACTCCGCCGCGATTTGGTGGCTGTACGTGATGAAGGTGGAAATTGTCCCCAAGGAAAAGGACCGGATGAACCAGGAGAATTCCGCCCGGCGCGAGCACGACCCGGATTTAGATGCGGACGAGACCATATCAAATGCAAGTATGTCTGGGTCTGGAAGAGCACAACTTTGTCATGCACATTTTCCATGATGATGATCCATGATGTCTGTGATGTATGCCATAGCATCCCAGATTTTTTGAGCGCTTATCTATGCGCATCCAGCATGACAATTTGAATCCTCTTGCTGGTCATACAATACAGGTTTTCTTAGCATCCAGATGCAGCATCACAAGTTTGGCTTTTCCAGACCCAGACATTTTTGCATTTGATAGACCACGCTGATCCAACCCGAGGAAGACGTGGACGACTACAAGAAAATGACGGACCAGATGATCATGGTGGCCTCGGCCATCCAGGACGGCGCGCACGCGTTCATGAAGGCGGAGACGCTGGTGATGCTGCCCTTCCTCGCGCTGGCCGCCATCCTGATCGGCGTCGGGCTCCGGTCCGGACCGACGGTGCTGGCTTTTATCATGGGGTCCGGCACCTCCATCGCGGCGGCCTACCTGGGAATGATGATCGCCTCCAAGGCCAACGTGCGCACCTGCTACCAGTGCTGGTCTTCGCTGCACGAGGGCTTCGACATGGCGTTGCTCTCCGGGTCGGTCATGGGTTTTCTCCTTACCAGCATGGGCGTGGGCGCCTTTCTGATCACCTGGCTGCTGCTCGACGTCATCCTCAGCCGCTCGGCCGCCTCCGAGCCCCACGCGGACCTGGCGCACGCCTTGTGCGGGTTCGGCTTGGGCGCCAGTCTCGTGGCTTTATTCGCAAGGGTGGGCGGCGGAATCTACACCAAGGCGGCCGACGTAGGCGCGGACTTGAGCGGTACTTGATACACCAGTGGTCTTGTTTCAGATGCAGTTCTCCATTCAGTTCACCCCTTGTTGTCCCTACGCTTAGTGAAGATCCTTTTTGATATGTGCTGCTCGTATATGATCCTTAAGCATACAGCAATGCAAGTTAGTAGTAGATGAAAAAGCAGGACGAGTGAATGTGAAACTACTGAAACTACAAATGACTGCTCTAATCCGAAAGCCGTCGTGCTGCGTTTCGGCCCTGCAACCTCCGTAACATTCAAGTGTTTATTCCAAAAAAAAAAACTCAAAAAAAATTAGGTAAAAACGAGTACGGCATGGACGAGGACGATCCGCGCAACCCTGCCTGTATTGCGGACAACGTGGGCGACAACGTCGGTGACATTGCCGGTATGGGTGCGGACTTGTTCGGGAGTTTTGCCGAGAGCAGCGCCGCCGCCTGCTACATCTGGTACAAGTTCGCGACCAACGTGTCCGGCGCCGCGGAGAACACTCTGTTTGTCGGTGACGTGTCCGCCTCGCTGTACCCTTTGCTGGTTTCCGCGAGCGGAATCCTCGCCGGGCTTCTCACCATCGGCGTGAACTTTTTGCTGCCGAAGGTCACCAAGTTCGAGATGGTGGAGCCCCGACTCAAGTGGTTGCTGCTGATCGCCACCGGGTTCGAGGTTGTTTTCGTCTTCGTCGTGGGGCACACCGCGCTCCCGGCGCAGTTCTTGATCCGGAAACAGGGGTCCGAGCCGGTCCCGACCACCGACCTCCAGATCTCCGGCTGCGTCATCATTGGCTTGATCAGCGGCTTTTTGATCGGCTTGATCACGGAATACTACACCTCGCACAGCTATCACCCAGTCCGCGAAACCGCGGCCGCTTACCAACAGTACAAATTCTATAGCTTTGTCGTTTCTAATTCTAGTACTAACATTTCTCCATCGGATAAGAGTGTCGAGCTGAGGGGCAAGTTGTGCCTTACGACAACAGGAATGAATAATTAAGAAAGCTTCTAGCTTAATATTTTTACCCACGAGCATGCCACAGCCTGTTGTTGTTTGCCTCTGCAAGGCTGACAAAGCACGCGAAAACTAAAAGTACCATGAAACCACTCCAGGTCCGCTTCCACCGGTTTGATTCTGGGCACTGCGCTGGGTATGAAGTCTACTGCCGTACCCGTGCTGCTGATCGCCGGCACCATCGTCGGCAGTCTTCTGATGGCCGGCCCCTTCGGCATTGCGATGGCCGGTCTGGGGATGCTTTCCACCCTGTCTATCGGTTTGACCATTGACGCATACGGCCCGATCGCGGACAACGCCGGCGGCATCGCGGAGATGAGCGGGCTGGGGAACCACGTCCGGCAGCGCACCGACTGCCTGGACGCGGCGGGCAACACCACCGCGGCCATCGGTAAGGGCTTCGCCGTGGGCTCGGCCGCGCTGGTCGGCATGGCGCTGTTCTTCGCGTTTTTGCTTGCGGCCCACGAGGGCGACACCAAGGATTTCCGTTTGGAGGTGCTGAACCAGTTCGTGTTGCTTGGTCTCTTCCTCGGCAGCATGCTCCCCTTCATCTTTGGCGCATTACTGATGACCAGCGTGGCGCACGCGGCCCAGGAGATGCTGGCCGAGTGCCTGGAGCAGTTTCCGAAGATTGTGAACGAGGGCGCCGCCCCGGACTACGAGCGCTGCATCACGATCAGCACGCGCGCCTCGTTGAAGGAGATGATCGTGCCGGCACTGATGGTGGTATTTTCCCCTCTGATCGGGGGCCTGATGTTCGGCACCAACTTCACCTGCGGGCTGTTGATGGGGGTGCTTTTGACCGCGTTGTTACTCGCGGTGTCCATGTCCAACAGTGGAGGGGCGTACGACAACGCGAAGAAGTACATCGAGGCGGGTGGCATCGGCCCGGGTCGCATGAAGGGTTCCCAGACGCACAAGAACGCCGTGGTGGGCGACACCCTGGGGGATCCGTTGAAGGACACCAGTGGCCCGGCGCTCAACATCTTCATGAAGCTATCAAAAGGAAAAATCCCCCCTCCCCATATCGAAAACGAAATTTGTGATGCTGTATTTGAGTACACAAATCGACTTGTAATCCTAGAAGACCAAGAGACGCAGCTGTGGCCTCCTTTGCAGGCAATTTGTCATGCTGTTTCCCTCCTCCAGCTGCCCCCTGTCATGCTGAAGATGCAAGGCTTTCCCACGCCAACCAGCACTACAGTCCGCATCTTTTCCCTTCTAGCATGACAAAGCTGATTTGTGGCCACAAATCTGCATCACAAATTTCTAGTTTAGGTATGGGGTGGGGGGATTTTTCGCTTTGATAGAAGCTGTCCGCCGTCACGGCGCTCACCTTCGCACCGTTTCTCAAGCAGTACTCTCCCGAGGGCAATCCGGGATGGATGCCCAAGAATAAATAGAAGAAAACTATTACCTGAGTAGATGATGCGAGGGTACTGACTTCTATATGAGCTGAATTTTTCTCGTGGTGTTGAATTTTCGACCACGCGGGAGGCTCATGATTCAAACCACAATTTATCACTGTGATGCCCTTGTGAAGGTGGGGATTTCGATATGGTCCACAGTAATACTTTAATTCAATTGACGATCATCACGGGAAGAGGTACTACTTATGTTTGAGCGCAGCTACCAGTTTCTCTAAGCCTCAGGAGTAGGCTGGTGGTTTGCAAACGGGAAAAAAAAATACGGGGCAAAAACATGTTTCAAAACGAGTAGCAAACGTAGAAAGGGATAAGCGTGACTAACATGCATTTTCGATACGTGGTTATTTGTACCCCTCACTTGCTAAATCGATTTTACTACGTCGCATAACATAATTTCTGTACTAAAAAGTATGCTGCTGTTGGAGAGACGGATACAGTAGTAGGACCTCATGTTTTCAAATGTACATCAATTTTTATTTGCTGTTTTATTTCCAATCTGTATGAACTGTTCAAATTGTATCTAAATCTATACAAAACACTTGTAGACGAAGTTTCGCGTGCATTCAACTCCGCTGCTCTTCCAAGAAACTTCTGTACTAATGCGGAGTGAGATTTTTGTAACTCATGCTTCAAATCTAGCGATAGCATAAGACAAAATTTTGTGTACATTGTAACCATTTCAGCCTTTCAGATTTCCACATTTTGAGCAACAACCGTACCGCATGATGCAGACGAGTGATGCAATTTTAAGCGCAAAAATGCTACCAAGCCTCATGGGGCGAAGGAAGCGAAAGCCTCTTCTTTCCTATGGCCGAGTAGAGCAGAAGGGCAGCATCATACGCGGAAACAAAAAGAAAAACTCGTGCACAGGTTTTTGTAATTTTCGCAGAAATGTGCTGAAAAGAAAATGGTTTCAGGAATAAACAAGATAAAAAGCAAGAAAAAGGGCAAGGGGAAATTGGCCCGCAGCTTTTTGATGCTGGCAACTTATTTTCTACTAGTCAAGTCGGTGGCCAAGGAGACAAAAGGAACCTTGTTCCGGCGCTTCGCTATAATCGGTCGTGCCGTGCACGAGCTTTGACAAACTCGGTGACAGTGTCGGTGCATCACTTGATGAGTTTCTATTGGCCATCAATCATTGTTTCGCATTCGCACAGACCGAAAGAAGAGGAACAAAACTCGAACAAAAAAATAAACTTAAACTTGCTTCGGTTAGTCGGATGAACGAAGGGAAGCAACTAGTTCACTGGAGATACTGAAACAGTCATTTCTGGTCCAAGGATCTTCAGAGGCTCTGACATCATCCCGGATTCGGTGCAAGTACATTTTGTCAGAAATCCAGCTCGTGCATCGATGAGTTTGATCTGCCAGGGCCTCCTGTGCTTTTCGACGCCGATCAGTTTTAGGTTCTACTTACGGAGGACCCTTTTTTGAAAAACTAATTTTTTTTGCATTTTGCTCGTGCATAAGATATTCATATTGATATTTCGTGATGCTGTTTACGCGCAAAGAACCACGGTTAAAGTCGAAAGGAGGATGTGCCAAGCTCCAATATTGCCCCGGGCCCGTCTGTCTCAAATGTTGTTGGAAGTGAGACAGGGCCGCGTTTTGGGTTTTGTCCTGTGTAGAATAGTAGATAGAGAAATCTAATATAAAACAAATCGCTATCGTTCTGCAGTTTTTCTTTTCGCGCTTTTGTGTAACTGTAGTTCTAGTTGTAGATACCACCTATCACCGCAACTTTTTGCCCCCACCGTATTCTTGAGGACATCACTCAACGAACACACACGCTGAATGGATCTTGTGCACGCTTCGCGGCCTCAAGTCCTACGGCCTCGTGGTTTCGCAAACCCGGGCAAGACTAAGCATACGTAAAATGAAAATCAAAATACAGAAAGCGAAGAGTTTGATGATCTGTCGACCGACGCGCACGGTTGTCCAGAGCGCGGGCATGTGGAGACGAGCAGGGCCTCTTCAAACGTAGTCCACCTAGTTCTTTCACCAGGAGGTACTACGAACTGAACAGCAGCTGCGCCAAAAGATGAGCCACGAAGATGTAGTAGCTCCGGCTGCTCCAAACTTGGCTCGTGCTGGAGGTGTTCCTGTACCTCCCTTGACGGAGTTTTCTCCGCCGCCACGAAAATCAAAAGCGGAAGAAGAAGACGACGCCAGCGGCACAAGAACTACTTCTCTGACTGTTTCAGAAGCCTTAGAAAGAGAAAGCAAGCGGATTGCGATCTTGCGCCAGCAGATTGATCTCGAACTGGCTACTGCCTTCTGGAACAACGCTGTAGTGACTGCTACAGCAGCAGCCACCTCGTCTGAAAAATCGTCCACACCAAGGAGAAGTACCAGTGTGAAGGAACTCGATCGTTGGACCACTTCAGAAGTCGTTCCGGCTCCATCGAGCCCCGGAGGTGAAGCTGCGCCGCCATCGCCTCTGACAGACATTGTACAACCACTGCCCCCGCCTCACACAACCTCCGGCGGATTGATGAACCTTGGCCTCAAGGAAGCACCAGATGCCGCAGCCGCCGCACGGCTCCTTATGAGAACCAAACTTCCTATTAATCCAGTGGACCACCTGCCCGTGGATTTACCACGACTCAGCTGGGACGTTCTAGACCCCAAGAAGATCCAGCGGGTGTTTCACTGCGAGGGGCAGACCGAGGCGGAAATGGCCGAGTCTTACGGGAGACTTTGCGGAGACCGGATGAAAATCTTGTTTGACTTCAAAAAGTATCCCATTGATGTGCAAAAGTTCGTTGTACTTGTATCGTGGCCACTAAGTTGTAACTGCACCGACGGCGACGCATGACAGGTCTGTTTCTTGGCCTGAAACTGCATCAGAAATTTCGTTTTTTTGGAGAATTTTGATGTGATGCAACTTCCACAAGCACGATGCTTTTGCCAATTGCTATTGCATAAAAAGCAGCTGTACCAGTACTTTGATGCCGTGGACGACTGGTATGAGTACGCGATGGACGTGAAGGCCATGATGGAGCAAAAGTGCCCCAATGCGTACAACGAGATTGTCAGCATCGCGAAGGGCAGCGCGGATTTGCACGACATGACAGAATCCATGCTGTTCATGATGGCCTGCGAGTACGAGGCGAGCATGACCTTTTGCGACCGGCGGAAGTTCCGGAATTCCTACGCAGTGTCCCGGAGCAGCTCGCGCACGCCGGGCGCCGGCGGTTTCTCTGGATCGGCGTCGTCCGTGGTCAGCGGGGGCGCCGGCGGTTTCTCGGGATCGGCGTCCGTGGTCAGCGGCCGGTCCTACACCGTCGCAGACGGGTCGGTGGGAAACGAGGAGGTGGTCGACCTCTCACAGCACCATCTGGCCGCAGTAACGACAGGACCGGGCGGCGGACAAGCGCCGGAGCCCCAGCCCCAGCCCGCCGACTTACGGCAGCGGTCCCGCTCTCGTCGTGTAATCGACAGCAGTTCTACTCGTGTTCACACACCTCCGTCTTCTGGCAGGGGGAAGAGCAAAGAGCTGCTGATTAACCGCGCCGTGGAGCGCTTACAGGAGGAGGGAGGACAAGATGAACAAAGAATAACAATACCAGCACAGGACTCCATCTACAGAGGACAATATGATGCCCAAGATCCGCATCCGCGTTTGCTTCTTGACACAGAAGAACTACATCAAACTCGCAGCTTTTCATCTACTTCCCACAGTACTAGCAGTCGCAAGCCGTACACCAGCCCGCGACACCAGCACCAGCCACAGCTCAGCAAGAACACTGTCAAAGACCCAGAAGAGGAACTTTTCCGCAAGTTGATCTCCGGCCCGAAGGCGTGCACCGGTCTGGTTTGCCGTGCCTACGCCGATGAGAACTTTAGCTTGGAGGTGGTGCCGCCCATGAACGGAGTGGTCACCTTTGAAGTCGAAAAAATGGAAGAGTCACACTCCGCGCCGGAGACCTTCATGAGCAGCCCGACGGCGTTTTCTTCGCCACGGATCCATCACGATAATTCAGAAAACATCAATTACAATTTGGCTTCTTCTGAGCAAGCTGCCCCGGATGATACCGACAGTGTGACGACTGCGGCTGCATCAGGCGGGGTCACCACTTCTAAAAATAGTAGAGTCCTGACGAGTCCAAGCGAGAGCAAGACCAGTGCCGGCGAGGACGGGACGCCGGTGGTCCGAGAGCTTTCTACTTCCGATCATGAACTGCACAAGAATTCTCCGTTGATGTTGATGGGGCAGGGAGGTGAAGTCGAAGAAGAAGAAGCGAGATCGGGTAAAGTTTCATCTCCGGCGCCGCAACAGCAGGAGAGCGACGGCGAGTTGTCCACAAGAACTCCTGCTGCTCTCACGACCACTCCTTCGACGACGGCCGACGACCCAGCGACCGCAACGAGCAGCGCCCCGCAGGTTGTATTTGAAGTGCAAGACCACTATCATGACGTGCACAGCACCGTGGCGGGAACCTTGATGACGCGTCCCGTGCAGAAGGAAAAGCCGCGCGTTCGATTCGTAAATGTGGCCGCAAATTCGACTTTGCTGTACTACAGCCTGGACGTGGACGCTGGGTTGGAAATATGAAAGCGTGACACTAGTAAAAAAGCCCTATCTTCACGTATCAGTCTATCATTTGCATTTTTTCTTTTGAGTACAAAGATAACAACAAGCAGCGCTTGCGGGTCCATTCCTGCGAGACGGGGCTGACTCTGTCGGATGTTGAAATCTGTACCTGTAGCTGTACCACAGCGGTTGAAAATATAGACAAACCCTGTGCCTGGAAGACGAAGATGCAAGAACAACGTGCTCGTGATAGAGCTCTCGTCTACTTCCCTTATTTCCGCTTTCATAGCAAACGCAGGACAGCTACACGGGCGTAACGACCAGCATCGACCCACCGGACGTGCTGTACCGTGTCGAGAACGTGTATGGCGTTCTCAAACGTTACATTCTATAACTGTTAGACAAATTTGTCATGCAAAAGTACCTTAAGCCGGCAGATGATCGAGCTGCTTCGCATGACAAATTTCGGAAGGGCTACTTAGACAGCATCTAAATCTGCGCCAAAATTGTAATGCAAAAGGCGCAACGGCAACCTTCCTCCTTTCACTTTTGCCAGTCTTGCATTACAAATTTATGTAGCAGTTCGTTGAGAATGTAACATTTGCGAACTCCATAACGTGGAGAAAAAATCCGAACAGACCAAGTCCTGCACCGGTTGCGGCATATGAAAGTGCACAACTCCCCCTCCCCCTCATTTGTCATGCAAAATTACAAATCCACCCTTTGCAGACTGTTAGCACTGTCTGCATGACAGATTCCGGAATCCAAAATAGCACTACAATCTTCTATCTAGGTAGGAGTTTGTCATGCAAAAGCTGCATCTTTGCCAGCGCTTGTGTTGCTGTTCATGCAACACAAATGAGGTGGAGGGGAAATTGTGCAGTTTCATACGGCATTCAGACCAACGACGAGACGCCGCCGCTGTGGCTGAACGGCGCGCTGGATGTGATTGTGGTGTACCCTGGCATCTCCGCGCGCTACGTGCACCCCGGGCTGCCCATGTACATGGGCGTCAACGAGTGGGGCGTGTCCGTGCTCTGGATGGCGGTGGACGACGGGTCTCGGAATGTAGTAGGGACCAAGACCCAGATGGACGATCTCCTGTTCAATACACCCGGCGGCACTTCTACGTCCCCTAGTGGGAAAATGATGATGCCCCGGCTCTCGCCCGTCCGGGAGCACGATTACGACAGCGACAATTTTATCTCGGACCACTACGACACCTGGTCGGACCACAGCCACGCGGTAGTTTTGGACGGCGGCAAGAATGGACGAGCAGGACGCGGCGCTGGTGGTGCACCAGCGGCTTTAGTTACAACTAGCGACTTCGAAGAAGATGTTGATCCAGTTCCAGCCCCAGATCCCGCAGGAGGCGCCCCAGTGGAGCAGTTTCTCCCCCCCGTCTACAGCTTCGACGGCGGGATTCCCACGACCGTGGCCATGCGGGAAATGCTGTCGAAAAAGTCGGCGGAAGAAGCCGTTTTGTGGCTTCAGGAACAGCGTTTGGCGGTGCCAAATTCTTGGTTCGTCTCGGACAAGAAAACGCGGTACATTGGTATGACAGATGAGGACTCAGCTGTGAATAGATCAGTTGTGAACTGACGTGTTGACAAGGAGGTGGAGGCTAATCTAATATATATATTTATATGTTCCTTAACGTCGAGCAAGACCAAGCTTCATTGGAGTTATGCAGCCAAAATCAAAGTTAATGCTAAGTCTGTCGGTGTGACTTTTATGCAGAACCAACCTGCAGTGTTGGTGGTGTCGGTGTGATATCACACGCGGCCCTGCTGCTGCTTTTGCTGTCGTTCATGCGACAGCACACAGCAGCTCTCCTTGTCAATGAACTGAAGACGCTGTCACAGCTCGTCTTAAGCAAGTCCATAATCGTGGAAGTTGCGCCAGGGCAGCAGGTTTTTGTGCGGGATGTGTCGCAAGACGATTTCTGCGCGCATGCGAACCAGTTTTCGGAGTGCCCGGAGCTGATCGCCCGCGACCTGATGCGGGTGCAGTCCAGTCCGCAACGGCTCCAGCGATGCCGAAAAGCTATGTGGGACGACAAACTTATCTCTAGCGATGATAGTGTGGTTGTGATGACATGAGTACTTTCAGGCATATTACAAATTTGACATAATGATGATTCCGTCTCTACTCGTCCAGGTCTAGCATAATCACAAAAGGAAATAAGTACCACATCCCTTGCACAATACCGTCATTGCAAAACAAAATCAAAAGCAAACATAGGCTCCACTACAGTCGCTAGTTGACATTGTTTCACACGATAAAAGCCGGGCGCGATCAGGTGCAGCCCTCCGTTAATAGCGGTGTCGCGGACGTGCAGGAGGCGGCTAAGGAGGCTTTTTTGGACCCCATCTTGTTGCGGCCGGACGGCAACTGCCTGGCTACCATTTTACTGGATCCGCACGCGCCGGCAATTGAGGTGCGCTTCAAAGAACACGAAGGCCCGGGGACGCTGGACCGCGATAACAAGTGGCATCGGGCCGAAGTGCACCCTACTGCTGCTCCAACTTCTACACCGGGAGAAGGTGCTGGAGCGGCCCCCACAACGAGCTAGAAGGCCCGGGAGGATTTTTTCGATTCTGACGAGGGCGTGAATAGCAGGCGGAAGAAGAAGGCAGCTGCCGACGGCATCAAGAATGGTCGCTAGATGCACATTTTTGTGCGTGTGTGATCATAAACATATTCTGGCGTACTGAAACAAATGAGAATGAAGTTCTTGATCATGTTTCCTCGCAAGATAATGGTCTGATAATCCATGGACGATTTGTAAGTAGTCCTGGCACAGTAGTTTACTTTAGTCTAGTCATTGATTCAGTTTTTTACGTTTCGCTTTCGCATTCTCAATCCAAATTTGTAAAAGACAAAAGAAAAGCAAAATTGCGTGCGGAAAACTTGATTGCGGGACGCACTGCCACCACACATCATTTCTGTTCTTCTACACTGGTATTGCAACAACGTTGTATTGGAATTGGTTTCTTCACCTTGTTGAGTGATTAACAGTTCTGCCTTACCGTAACTCGGGCAACGTCGTGTAAAAACGTGCTTACCTTCCTTCGCTGAGTATGTGATTCTGTTACTTGGTTGTCACTGCTAAGCGATAAAAACCGCAATCATGAGGTTTCGCGCGTGGGCACTTCACCTGTGTCTTGGTGCTTCTTTGTTGTGCCACGACAAGCGACGACGAGGAGCAGGTAATTTTGGGCTTTGCTTCTCGCACGCGTACAAAGAGTCGCAGCGAGAAGTTCACCCACGGTTGGACCACTTGGACTTGGACGATGAAAATGACAGGAAAAACAGTGCGAATGGCGCAAGAGCAAGAGGTAGCGATAGCACAACCGCGATTGACCAAGACGGGGAATTCTCACCCGAAGTACCCGAGCCAGAATCCTCATACGCCGAAATAGATCACGATCATTACGAACAGGAAACTCAAGAAGACGAAGAGGAAATAATAACAAAAAGCGACGCAGCGCGGCACGGGGGTCGTGCTGAAACCACAATCCCCTCAAGTCCAAGCGCTAAAAGCAGCGAGGACACTACGCCGCTGCAGGAGAAGCAGCTTCCGCTGCAGGGGCACGGGCAGGAGGAAGAGAGACTGCCTCTCGACGAGCACGCGACCGGTGAAAAGGCATCAATATCAAACCAGCTAGCTCCAGATGGGAACGATAGAGGACAACAAGAAGTGGGACGATATCAATCGGCTCCGGATGATGTTAAAGAAAAGCAAAGGGATCAAACAGAAATGTCCCCCGTCGTGAAGGAACAAAAGGACGTACGACCTGCAGCCGCCTCTTTTTCTTCAACTACGACTCGCGAAGAGGACGCGATTCTGCAGCGGCTGGACTCTCTGGAGCAGAAGATCGTTGGCCTACAGGCAGAACATGCCGAATTGAAACAGGAACAAAAAACTCTGCAGGAAGCACTCGCGCATATGAAGATATATATTGATGAGTTCCTCATCGGCCTGATGGGCCGCATTCGGTTTTGTGGTGCGGTCACTTGGATCCTGATAGAATTCGCGCTGCTCTTGCTACTCGGCGACTCGCGGAAAGCCGCGATGTTCGCTTTCCAGTTGCTGTTTACGGGTTTCGTGTTTGTTGTGTTAGGCACCATCCTGCCCTGGCGGCAGGTGATGTGCCCGAAGAAAGTAAAACGGCGCTACCGAAAGAGTCGTGGTCTTCACGATACTACCGATGTTGTGCTTGTTCCGATTTTGGAAGTAGAGGAGGAGGAAAGAAACAAAGTCCAAGTCGATGAAGCCGGCGGGGCTGCCGTTGTACACCTTCTAGATTTTGACAGCGAACAAGCTGCCTCTCGTGCCAGCTGGATGGACTACGACGGCGGGGGTGCAGGGGGAGCCAGTGTCGAGGATGCGATTCGAAAAAATTATATCGGTGAAGAAAATAACCATGGTAAAAATGCAGGACCCGCCGCCAACGGAACCGGTCATCTGCCAGGTCGTATAGCAGCCGATAAGAATGTTGACTCGGGGAGAGAAGGCCGCGACTTTGAGGTCGTGGAGGTGCTTGAGGAGGTGTTGCCCTACGATTTCGAAATCCGGGGTACCCTCTCTTGCGTGACGCATAACCAAAGCAGCGCGGCGGGGAAAATTTGGACCCTGGCACTGGTTCTGTACATGATCAGCACCTTGCTCTCCGCCTACACGTTCGAGGTCTACGAGTCCTGGTGTCCGTGGCGCAGCACGCCGCAGAGCGAAAAATTACCAGACAGCTACCTGGGAGATCCCGGGCTACCCAAGCTCGCTTTCACGCAAGAACTGTTCGCGCGCGGGTTTTGGCTCGTGGTTCCCAGCTTTTGCTTCGTGGTGACGGCGGTCATCGAAACCCAAGCCTACTTGTTAACCTTGACGGACCCCGCCTTGAAGGCGTACTTTCCTTTCGAGAAAGCCCGCGCGAAGCTGTCGAGCTCCGAGAAAAAGATCGCGAAGTACTTTAGTAAAATCCACGGTTCGGCGGCTCCCCTGGGCATGTTCTATAACCCGCTCAGGTGTTACAATCTCAAACGTTACAATAGAGTCTGAGAAGACAGCGCCTACAAAGATTTCCACCAACCTCCACATCCGGAAGTCGACACCAATACTGTCGTGGATGTGACGAAAGCCGGTACAACAGCTCGTGTCGCCTTCTTCGTCGACCAAGAAGGCGAGTTCTCGCCGGAGGACGTTGATGTTGAACCGGAATCGTACGGTGAGATTGAACAAGACGCCCACCAGCAGCAGGATCAAGATGCAGCTCGTCCAAAGGCACAAAAGAATGCGGGAGGAGCGGGGGGAGAGAAAGGCACGAGCTCGATTGATACAGCTCTTTCTGCAGCCTCTGGCTGGGCGCCTCCATTCTGCAGCGGCTGGGCGCTATGGAACAGAAGATGCACGCCCTCGAAGCCGCAAACGCGGAGCTGCAGACACGGCTCGCGAGGAAAGAACAGAGTTCCCTTGATCATGACGCCGAAGGGCTGCATTCCCATTCGGGGGACCAAGAAGAACAAGAAGAAGTATCGGTAGCGCAAAAGATCCACGCGCTGGAAGCTGCGAACGCGGAACTGAAGGAACGAGTCGTGGAACACGACACTCGGTTCGTGCAGCTTCTTGGCCGCATCCGGTTTTGCGGTGCGGTGACCTGGATTCTGATCGAGTTCGCGTTGATCCTGCTGTTGGGCGACACCCGGAAAGCGGCCATGTTCGCCTTTCAGCTTTTGTTCGTGGGCTTTGTCTTCGTGCTGTTGGGTACCATCCTCCCCTGGCGGCAGGTGATGTGCCCGAAAAAGGTAAAGCGGCACTACCGAAAGAGCCGGCACAACTCCGAGGTGCTATTGCCGGTTTTGGAGGATGAACAACTGGTCGTTGAAGGGGCAATATCTTCCAATGCTGCGGATATTACGACGGGATCGGGAGGAGACCACGGAGCCCGCGGAGAACACCTGCGAGCGAGCTGGATGGACTACGACTACGAGGGAACATCAACTATTGCTACCAGAGTTAGTACTAGCGCCGAGGCTGCTACGAATATTAAAACAAGTCTCGAAGTAGAAAAGAATGGACTTGCATCTTCAACCGCCGCTCCTTCTCTGCCAGATGATACAACAGGAGCTGATATTATTAACGAGGGTGAAGAACGAACACGAAGCGACGACAACGAGTTTGAGCTGGTAGAGGAGATCGAGGAGGTTCTGCCTTACGACTTCGAAATCCGGGGTACGCTCTCTTGCGTGACGTGTGACCAAGGCAGCGCGGCGGGGAAAATTTGGACCCTGGCGCTGGTTCTGTACATGATCAGCACCTTACTCTCCGCCTACACGTTCGAGGTCTACGAGTCCTGGTGTCCGTGGCGGAGCACGCCGCGCAGCGAAAAGTTACCGGACACCCTTCTGGGCGACCCGGGAATGCCCAAGCTCGCGCTCGCGAATGAACTGATTGCGCGGGGGTTTTGGCTGGTGGTTCCAAGCTTTTGCTTCGTGGTATGGCGTGCTCAAGCGTTACATTCTCAACTGTTACAAAATGCAAGAACGGCAAAAGTGAAAGGGCGAAGTTTGCGCCTTTTGCATTACAAGTTCCGCACAGATTTAGGTGCTGTTTAGCCCTTCGCAGATTCATTTGTCATGCGAAGCAGCTTGACCATCTGGCGGCTTAAGGTAGTTTTGCATGACAAATCCATGTAACAGTTGAGAATGTAACGTTTGAGAATCCCATACGTGGTGACAGCCGTGATCGAGACCGGCGGGTACCTCTATCAAATGCAAATATGTCTGGGTCTGGAAGATTGCAAGACTTGTGATGCAGATTCACGATGACCCATGTGGTCTGGCATGCAGGGCCTGGCATGACAGATTCTGTGAGACGTCTAGCATGCCTATCCTGCATGAGAAACTGCCTCTGAACTGATCCAAAAGTGGACATATTTTGGTGTTCATGCAACACAAACTTTTGGCGCGATCCAGATTTAGCACGACAAGTTGCATCAACCTTCCAGACCCAGACATATTTGCAAAAATGCATAACCTCTTAACCTTGTCCAACCCCGCGTTAAAGGCGTACTTCCCCTTCGAAAAGAAACGCCCGAAGCTGTCGCACTTTAAGGCGACGATTGCCAAGTACTTTTCGACGATCCACGGCATCGCAGCGCCGCTCGGCATGCTTCTTCTTGTCGTATTCGAATCGGTGCAGCTGTTTTGGGGTGAAAATGTACCCGTTTCCTACTTGACAGCGATTTTCGACCCGGTAGATGCGCTATCGAATGCAAATATGTCTGGGTCTGGAGGAGTCATGCCGCTTTTGCATGACACAGAAGGTCTGGTATGGAGGCTCTAGCATCACAGATTTCATCGAGAAGCTTGAGCAATGCCGATTCTGCATGACAAATGCCCCACTTTGGTGACAGAAAGTGGGCAGCTTTCGCTGTCTATGCATGAGAGATTTTTATGCGTTGTGAAATGCGCAAGCGCATCACAAGTTTGCATTCTTCCAGACCCAGACATATTTGCAATGCATACGCGATCGGCGTGACCGATTCCAAGCCCTTGTTCGAGGCGAAGCTGTGTGCATTGCAAATATGTCTGGGTCTGGAAAGTTGTAATGCCAAAAGTGAATGGTATGCGCACTGCAATACTCAAGCAAGCATGACAAATTTTTCGGGCTGCTATGTGATTCGTTTTGCGCATGGCAGACTGCGTTTTTGCATGGCAGGCAAAGCCTCTTTTCCTGCCCTCGCATCACAGAATTCAGAGTCATGCGAGAGAAGCATGACAGACTTGCACTCTTCCAGAGGACCCAGACATGTTTGCATCTCATAAAAGATGGCAAATTGGGTGTCTTGACTACGCCACGTCGCCCCGGCCCTGGAATCGAATCGTTTGGCTGCGACTCGTGTTTCTCTGCGGCATATGAGAGTTGTGCACAACTTCGCTCTCCCACTTTCGTATGGCATGAACAGCAATACAACCAACAGCAGACACACCAGGGGCTTCCGCATGACAAATCTGCGCACGGATTGTAGTACGGTCGTGTGAGGTTCTGGTTCTAAAATTTGCTATGCAAGTAGTGCCTACGAGGAAGGCTTGAGTTTGTTCCCTTGCATTATACAAATGAGGGGGAGGGGGAGTTGTGCACTCTCATATGGCAGCTGGGTTTTTGGGCTCCTGTTTGTCGCCCTGAAGATACCCCTTACTGCAATGAAAAATGCCCCCTCGTCCCCTTCATTTGCAAAAGTTTGTCATGCAAAGTTTTCAAATGAAAGGCTTTTGTCTTGCATGTTGAAAGGATTGCGAGCCACCTTTCTGATGCAGAATCTAGGTGCGCAAGGTGTCTTTTGCATAACAGATCCGGCTGCTGTTGGGCTCCTTTGCAACACAAATCTGAGCTCTTCAGCATGGAAAATTTGCGATGAAAATGCAAGAGCAAGACGGGGAGTGTTTCGTCCATTGGGAACCGAAGGTTTGCAATTATACAAACGCTGCCAAGTTCATCTGGGGTGGGGGCATTTTTCACTGCAATACCCCTCAACAAGGCTTTCCACCCTAGGGACGAAGAAGAAGATTCTGCGAGGACGACTGGTAGCGCGCACTTCTTCTTCTTTCCCGAAATAAAGGACGAGGACCAGGACAAGAAAGACGCAGTAGTTGCTGCTTGTGTTCCTCGTTCCCCCGTTCTCCCCCTGGACACGAACGCCTTCTACAAGTTTTTGTTCGACACAAAGAAGAAACGCGTCACCTACGCTCGAGCCTCTTTCACAATGGAGGTGCTGGGGGCCTACTGCATTTTTTTCCTCCCTGTATCAACTGCAAAAGTATTGTACTCGTATAAATGCATTACAAATCATGAGAAATAAAATTTGTAATGCCGCTTTACCTTAAGAAAAACATTTGTCATGCATGATTGCAATTACTACAAGTACATTACTTTTGCATGTGATACCCTGTCCTTGCCGCCTACGACCACGCGCTTCGCGGTTTTTTCGGATGGCTATTAGAGTGCACAACTCCCCCTCCCCCTCATTTGTCATGCAAAACCCCGAAGGCAGTCGCTCTCGCTTCCTTGTGGCACCGTTTGCATGACAATTTCCGGAAGCCCAAACAGTAAGTACTACATTAGGCACACAAACTTGATGTCATGCATAGGCTCTACTTGTGGTCGTGTTTGTATTACTCGTCATGCTATACAAATAGGGGGGCAGGGGACGAGTTGTGCACTCTCATAGTGGCGGGCGAATTCGAACGCGGATGACGTCCTGCGCTTCGACACGCAGTATGAAATGCAAATATGTCTGGGTCTGGAAGAATGCAAGATTTGTGATGCAGGTTTTCCATGACCCATGAGGTCTGGAATGCGAGACCCAGCATGACAGATTCTTTGAGGTCTCTATCATGCCTTTCCTGCATGAGAGACTCCCTCTCAACTTGGGCAAAAGCGGACAGCTTTTGGTACTCACGCAACACAGATTTATGCATCATTCAGATTTAACATGACAAATTCTAATCTTCCAGACCCAGACATTTTTGCATTTGATACGCAGCCGCACGTATGGGTCGACAGCGTTCTGAAAAATAACGCATTCAGGCGGGTTGTGGACATCGTTCCGGACGAAAGTACTTGGTATGTGATGGGGAACACCTCCGAGGATCGAAAAAAAATGGTGCACTTATGACGTTCTCAAACGTTACATTCTCAGCTGTTACATGGAATTTGTCATGCAGAATCACTATCACGCTTCTCACGCTCAAGCTTCTTCGCATGACAAGTTCTCGACAAGGTAAATAGGATTACAATCTGTGCGCCATCATTAATAGTTGGATGTGCCCGAGTGTGATGGCGATGGCTTCGGTCCGCCTGACTCCGCGACCCGGTGGCCTGACCATCTGCGGAAAGGTGCCCTATGGGTTGCGTTTGTGGTTTCGGTCGGTTTAGCATCACAAATTCATGTAATAGTTGAGAATGTAACGTTTGAGAGCCCCATAGTGCTTTTCCTATTGGGACAACGTCGCATTCATCACCGGTCACTACATGACGCACCCGAAATGGAATAAACGTCTGGATGCAGATATTCTGTGCAAAAGTATCGTACTCGTATTGCAGTCATGCATTACAAATCTTTTCCTTCAGGTAAATTCGCATTACAAATTTTCTTTCTCATGCTGAGGAAATTTGTAATGCATTTATACGAGTACGATACTTTTGCAATTAATAGCAGATCTCGCCTTCTTCAACCCGGAAAGCCGCCACGCGCTTGAGCTCGGGCAGCACCCATCCGTGCTTACGCTGTGTAGAAGAATTGTCCTCTGGCTCTGTCTGCTCCACACGTGGTCCTGGCGATTGATAATCCAGCGCGCCTGTATTGAGGAACGTTTTGTTCGAGTTGTATGGAAATGGAATGGAACCTCTCGATCTGAATCGAGGTTCAAGTTGAATCGAACGCCTCTAAGACCTGTATACTTACTTGTTTATCCACACACGCGCCGCGCCCATTCTAGTTAGGGTCCATTTTCGCTTTTCTTCTTCTCTTCAACCCAACACGACAGGCTAAGCACTTTAAAAAACCTCGCAGTTCGCTCCGGCTAGAGAGACCTACTTAAACTTCTATTTGGATTTTACATTGCAATATAAGTACTTACTTGTTTATCGCATCTTCGATTGCAATTGAAGTTGAACTCTTAATCAACAAACTACCGACCCGAGGAAGCCGCCAAGTGGGAAATTCTTTTATTCACAACTGCATACTATTTTTTCGCAACGCAATATCCAAGAAAAAAACATTGTAGGTGTAACTTTTTTGGAGGAACAGCATTACAAATTTGTCTGGCATGACAGCAAAAACCTGTCATGCGCAGATAGTATGTGAAAACGCCCTTTAATGGACCCTGCGATACGTGCCAAGCATGACACACGCAATCATCTTGAGTGTTGCGCATCACAAATTTACACTAACAACGTTTTTTTCTTGGATACGCAACGTACGTGCAGACGCTCTACGGGGACCGCCCAGGCCTTCGCAGCAGAGTATGCATTGCAAATATGTCTGGGTCTGGAAGAATGCGACCTTGTGATGCGCATTTCACAACACAAGCAAATCTCTCATGCAGAGGCAGCAAAAGATGCCCACTACTTCCCGTTACCAAAGTGGGGGATTTGTCATGCGGATTAGGCAATGCGGAAGCTTCTCGAACTCTGTGATGCTAGGGCTTCGTCCATGACAGACAGTCTGTGCCATGCAAAAACACCATGACAAAAATCTGCATTCTTCCAGACCCAGACATATTTCCATTTCATACAGAGCTAACGCTCTCAACATAACCTATTGGGCCGAGCTGCATCAAGGTAAAGACTGGCTAGAAAAGAGTTTGTCAACCTGGGACAGCGAACACCTCAAGGCGAGAAAAGCGGCCGCCGCCGATGCGACGGCCACGGGAATGATCGGTGCGGAAGGGACGGCAGAAAGCTAGAAGGGTGGAAAGATGGTGAAAAACAAGCTTTCTTGCGCGATCAGATCTTGGAACTGCTGGAATTTTCATACATTTCGAGTTGAACAACAGTTAGTACTTGCAGTTCACAGAATCTGAATCTCCGTGCCGTCCGTTTTCTACTTCCTCAAGCAGACTGAAAGCCGCACTGGCGTCGTGCGATGGCGGTGGTTTGTTCTACGGTGACGATCTTCTTTTCATTTTCTGCGGCAAGTCGAATTGTACTTACGAACATAGAGTTCAACAGCCCAAAGTCGAAAACTACTGCCAGGAACAGGAGGATGAAGATCAAGACCCTTCCATCCGAGTCGATGTTTTCGTTTTTTTTCAAGATGCAAACGCTCCTTGCAGATAACTGAATGGAGGTTCAAAAAGATCGGCGATCAACCGTTTATTCGATCTGAAGGAGATCTATTTTGTAGCAAGAGTTGATATGTTCATGTTGATCTTATCCGTGTTGTTGAGCGTTCCATCCTGGACAATCTCGATCCGCTGTTGAAATTATTAGGTCGGTTTCTGTCTACTTTCAGTTTCACACATAGGAAAAGAATGAGGACTTCGCTGCGCCAGGCCAACGTGGGGCATGGTTGTTCATCTTCAGCAAGTGTATATTACACAACGACCGCTGGACAACGACATGGAACACGCTCAAGTGGGCTGAGCGCTCCTGCTGCACCGAAATTGCGCCACCTTCCAGCATCCTGCGCGAATATGCAGTTCATCGAGGGTATTGGTTACGAAGCACCAAGACAGCGATCTTCAACAAGCGGCCAGCAGATTGATGTTCGTGGGACGTCGGCACATCTTCGTTGCACAAGTCGAAGGCAGTTGTCTACCATGTCTGGCGCGGCAAGATGTAGCCCCACCGAAACGTCCTCCCCCACGAAACAGGCCGGATCGTGTTCCGCCGCCGACGGGCTGATACTCGGTCTATCCGTCGGGTTTCGCTCCACCGGCTTTGCGATAGTCCGCTACGAGACCGGTGCGCCGCAGCGATTCGCCCTGATTCGACACGGTGCGGCGGGGACAGGAGCACCAGGAGCAGCGTCATCCTCGGCGTCTTCAGGGACAACTACTACGGCGGCGGAAAATATAACTACAGGAACGTGGTCGCAGACTGCGAAAGAAAAATTCGTTTCATCATCCTCCACTGCCTCGTCCGCGTATGACAGTGTGTCCGGCAGCGTGTGCGTTGCCCTGGAGCGCCTGAAGCAAGCGAACTACCCGTTTACGGGGCTGGCCCTAGAGGACACGCTGAAGGACCGGAGCCTGGCCGCGGCGAAGCACGACCTGGGGCGGCAAATCGAAACGGGGAAAATGCAGGGCGTCGTGCTGACCGAGCTGAAGCGGTTGTGGCCCGGACTACCGCTGCTGCAGGTGCACCCACAGCGCGCGCGCGAGCAGGTCCTGTTCCGCAGTTGTTCTAGTGGTGGTAGGAACAAGATGAATTCTTCTAGCGATTGTTCCTCGACATCAACTTCATCCTCGCCCTCTCCTCCCTCAAGTAGAACCTCGCTCGCACGCGACGTCGCGCGGGAGCAGCTGTTCGCTTTCGCGCGAAAGACGATCAGCAACTTTCCTTCAGTAAAAACCCCGGGGGGTAAAACGTGCGACACCAGCTTTTTCCTGTCCGACGCCTGGGCCGTGGCGCTCTACGCGCGGCTGGAACTCCTGGTCGAGGCGAAGCAGCGGGACCCCCGGCTTATGAAAGCCTCAGTTTCGAAAATTTCAAAGTGAAAATAATTACGTTTGTATGTAATGCAAAAAACCACTCCAGTTGAAGCGCCACTTCTAGGCGGCGCATGACAAGTTTCCCGTGCACTCAAAGCATTTCTGTCATGCAGGTTAAGGCAAAGGGGTGCCCTTCTCTCATGCTAATCAGCACTCCAATTCTCAACCCGTAGAAGGACAATAATCGGCCTCCATGGCGTCTTCTGCAGCACAGTCTTTTTTGCGTCGCATTTCATGCATCACAAATTATTTCCACGTTGAGGATTTCCATTCTGAGGCTTTCATACGGCTCGTCCTCAAGTTGCGCAAGCAGATCCTGGAGCTCCGCCGCATGAAAACGCTCGAGGAACAGATCCGCCAGCTGCACCCGCGCAAGGCGGCCAGTGATCTCGAGGAGGTGCTGGAGTCGCAGGTCCAGTACCTGCTGCGCACCAAATTGTACCAAATGTGTGCGTATGATGCAGCGCAGAAGTAAAATGAAGATGAGCACATCTCTATCTGTCGGAGTGGGAGAACGCGCTGGTCGTTCTTCTTCTTGTGTATTTCACGAAAAGCATGAGAACAGAAGCAGAACCCTCGCTGTTGCCGTGCACGTCGCTAGGTTCGGGACAAGCGATATTTTCTCGCTCGCCACAGTTGCTGTGATGTGTAACCACGTCTCCCAGCTAGCGCTGTGCGATATACGATGTAAGAGATGATGAAGATAAGAACTCACGACCTTGTCGGACCTTCCCTTTCAAAGCATACGCAAGTGACGTAATTGAAATTGTTAAGTTAGTGCGCGGAAATGGAAAAACGTGGCACACGAGTCATCTTCGGCATCTAGAATTGATGACGTCCGCGAGCAGGACAAGTGTTCACGATAATGTTAATGACGACATTCTGATTTTCATGCACTTGCACGTACACGACGGACACAAAGAACAGCTTCTGTCGTATTGGCAAGTTTTTTTTTTCCAGCAACTTGTAGATCCTTCTCTGATTGAGAATTTTCAAACAGTACCTCAACCTGATGTGTAGTACCCACAAACAAGACCGACCCATCTTTTAGACGACAACATGCCACGGTAAAGATAGATAAAACCAGTAAGAAAGCTTCTGCACCAGCAGTAGTATACACGACATCTTCCGGTTCCGCGTGAGTGTGCGACATCTCCTGTCGGCGAGAGCAGCTGCGATGACGGAAACGCTTCTGGCCTCCGCTGCTTTTGGCGGCGGGGATAATAAAGTTGACGGGTCAACATCTGCAGCCTTCCAGAAGAAGAAGGACGCTGCGCTGCACAATGTGTGGTGCATCATTGTTTACAACTTTTGCAGCGCCATCAGCATCGGAACGGCGTTGGGCCCGTTTTTCGAGAAGTACGTGCTCCAGGTGCAGCAGGCGCACGACGGGGCGCGCGCCAACGCCACGGTGGGGTTCTGCGAGTCCTTGTTCGGGTTTTCGCAGCTGTTGGTGTTCTGGCCCGTGGGGCTGGTGGTGGACCGCCAGCCGGAGCGCCGGAACGTGCTCGCCCGGTGGATCGCAAGATTGGGCTTGGTATCCTGTGCAAAAGTATCGTACTAGTAGAAATCGCATGACAAATTTTGTCAGCATGAGAAATGATATGAAATTTGTAATGCGGTTTTACCTCGAGAAGTAATGAGTGGGATTACTACGAGTGCGATAATTTTGCTGTTCATACTTGGGCGCCGTCTTCCTGCTCGGCAGCGCGTTCGCGTCCAACTACCTGCCCTTCATCTACGTGGCCATGGTCATTCTGGGAATCTTCTACGAGGGCCTCACCTCCAGCTCCGAGACGCTGTTCGCCGACAGTGTGCAGATATTATCACAGGAAGGTGTGTTGAAATTGTAATATATCATTCTACATACGTAAAACTAAAGAGATAAAGATTGAGGTGCGGATTAGAATTAGTTGCAATCGTTTTGTTTGCATTTCGAACATAGTTCACTGGATTTTTGCGATTCGGATTCGTTTCTTTTTCGCACGAGTAGACAGCGCAACAAGAGTAGTGTTAGAAAATGACATAGCAGGTCTTTATTCTTGTGCTGGTGGTCGGACAAGAACATCATACTTGCAAGGATTTTTCGGCGGAGGAGCTAGTAAGAAGTACAAGAGAATCAGAACGATCTTCATGTGTGTCTCATAGTACTTACAACACTCTCACTTTCCCCACTCCAGGCGGGAGCACGACGGAGGACCAGGCGAAAATTTCGGCCGATTGGTTCACGAAGAAGATGATCGCGAGCTACAGTGGCGTCGCGTTCTCCCCGGTGCTCGGGATTCTCTGTGTGGAGTACTTCCGGCACTACGTGTCGCCGATGGTGATGCTGACGCGGGGCGAGTTCGCCGACCAAATTGGCGTGGACCTCGACCAGACGACGCCGGTGGTCGTCACGACAGCTACAGGAGGTCCACCTCCAGGATCCCCCTCGTCCACTGCCGCAATCCAAGAAGCCGTTCCACCCGCCGCCACGCAGCAGGTGGGTGCGGCAGCGGTGGATGTGTTTTGGAATATGGACCTGCTGCACTTCATCCTCATTCTGGGTTTGGTCCTCATCCTCCCGGCCGTGTGGAAAATCTCGGGGCTGCAAAGCGTCGGACGGTCCGGTGGGCCGAAGGATGGTGGAAACGCCGGCCAGCTGACCGAGGCGTTGCTGGGCGGTGAGGACCCGGACGCGGCGACGAAACGCGACTTTAAGCGGTACGCGCCCTACGTGATCGCCGTGGCAGACTTCGCGCAGTGCATCGGGGCGGGCATGACGTTCAAGTACTTCAACCTGTTTTTTATCCAGGACTTCGGGTTCGGGCCCAACGCGATCTGCGTCCTGCAGATCGTGTACCCCTTGTGCATGGTCTTCATGGCGGAGGTGTGCAACCGCGTGCTGCTACCGCTGTTCAGCAGCAGCCGCGCGAAGGTAAGCATGGTCTGCCGCCTCGTGGCCATCTTGGGTCTCTGGCTCATCGGCGGGGCATTTCCCTTCTCGTCCTCGTCTGCGGAGATTATGGCGAGTGGTTCTGGTGGTGACGGGCACGGGACAGGTGCGACGACTTCAACTGACTTCGTTTGGCTTCTGCAACTAGACAGCGCAAGAACCACTGCGCCCGCTGAAGACATGAACCACAACGCATTGACACCTGTTGCAGAAGTTGCTGGCCGCTCTGTTCTTTCATCATCAGCAGCAGCCCTCGCGGAGGACGGACAGCAAGAGCTGCAAGAAAATCAAATAATGCAGAGGCCAGCAACCGAATCTTCAGGACGAGGACTCGCGGCCTTCAACAATCAACCCTCGCCTTATTTTACAACAAGTCGGTTGTGTGAAGATTATCTACTCCAGACGCCAGCAACAGCGGAGGTCGCACCTCCGACGTGGTTCTGGTGGTCGATGTTATTTGGGGAACAGAACCTCCAAAGCGACGTAGGTTTGGTGACAGCTGGACGAGGGACGACATCGCAGACGACGATCCTACCGACCTTGCTGGACTGTGCTTCGGTTCCTTCCACGACCTACACTGGAATTATGAATGTGCGTATTTACATTTACATCAACTCCCGCTCCGTCCATTTGTGAAGCATACCAAAAACAAATCTTCCATTGCCTTATTACGCACTCTCTGCATCGTGGGTTGCGGAACGGAAACCCTAAGAACCAGTACTACAATTCAACAAGTGCAGAAGAATCGTCATGCAAAACAAGTTCTTGCATTTGGATTTGTGTAGTCCTAGCTTCTGCAGCTGCTTCCCAAAATATATGCCTTTCATCGAAGATGAGTGGGAGATGATGGGGTAGAAGTTGTGTACTAGGATAGGAATGCTGCTGGAACCGATTGACTCGGGGACGCAACATGGAATGAAGATCGCGAAGGAGCTGCGGAGCGAGGTTTTGACAACTACGAAAATGAATGCAGCAGCCGGGGAAGAAGAAGTAGAACAAGAACTAGGGCAACTACAAGCACTAAATCCGTTCAAAAACAAAATGATCTACCTCGCCGGCGGACCACATCAAGCACCTTCCGCGATTGATAACATTCACGACCACGTGGATCATGTTGTTGAACTTGAACCAACGAAGAGTGCTAAGAATACCATCTTCATGCCGGCTGTGACGAAGAATAAAGAGATACAACTACTAGGAAGAGACGTCGCACCAGCTGGAACAACGAGTAGAACAAGAACCTACGCGCTAGTTAGTACTACAGCCGCATCCACTGCAGGCGCTTCTACCGGTAGTTCTAGTGCTGCCGTTGGTGCGCTGGAACTACAAGAATCAAATCCAGCAACCACATCAACATCAACTCCTCCGACCGCAGGAACATTCACGTCCTGGATCGCGGGAGTTACCTACTACGAGCCAGCCGTGCTGGTCATCTTCCTGGTCACCGGGTCGTTTGCCATGGCCACCCCGGGGTTCGACAAAAGCATTCTAATGGACCACGTTGCGACGGAAAACCGCGGCAAGTGGAACGCCCTACTGTCCTTCAACGGATTCGCTTTCCGCGGCAGTGCCTTGTTTGGCGGGGTGCTGGCCGACGGACACAGTGGCGACTACCGCCCGGCCTTTACCTACGCGGCGGCAATCTACGTCTTGTCGTCCCTCCTGTACGCTCCGTTGATGCGGATGGTACGGAAGTAGTGAACTGCAGCTTTGAGAAGTTTCTATACGCAAACCTATAGAAACTTCTTCCCGTCTATCATGGTCTTCATGTGGAGCAACGTCACGATAAGTACTTCTTGGTCTTTTTACATTGTTAAAACATGGCTCTAGTTCTTGATGCAGAGTAGATGATGAAGAGAGCAGGGTACAACTATTTGAAGATGTCATCAGTGCCAGCGCATTCTTTTCACGAAGAAAATGCGGGAACTGAAACTTTCTTCTAGTAAAAGCCAACGATTCGGTATAACCTCCTTCTCAACTGCCGACGACGCTGGTTCGAAAACATGATCGCCACACAGATCTGAAGTTCATTTGTTCGACTTCATACGGTAGTTGTGTTCAGCTTCAGACGTTCTGCTTCTGGGAGTGAAAGGTGAAAGCATAATAAAGTCTGAGGACCACGAGTGAAAGGTTTTAAAGTCTGAGGACCACGACGACGACGGCCCGAGATGTCTTGGCTTTAGCATATGATCAACCCGTCTGTCATGCTGGAGCGAACACCAGAGCTGTACTACGGCGCCACGTGATGTTGAATAAGTTGTATTTCATCGATCCACCGCTCGCCACCTGTGTGTCCTTTGTATTACTCTTGTTGATCTTTCTCTTTCTAGCTACTGTTTCCGTTTCAGGTTCAACAGAACACGAACGAACGAAATGCGTACATGGGCACTATGGCTTGTCAAGAGGCGCCTTCAAAATTTAAGTTTAGAAGAGATTGTAGCTAGGAGAGAGAAGACGAGAACGTACACGTAGTTCAACAACTTGCCGTGTCTTTTTGTATGAGATTCTTCAAATGATTGCCTGCGAAAGCGAGGAGATTCTCGTAGTTCTTGTCTATGTCGTTGTCCGTGCCTAGGTGGTGCCGCTGGCGACAAATATCAAATACGTACCGCTGGGACGAGCCGTTGTGGCACTACGAGCTTTTCTTTGCTGACGTGATTTGAATACGACCTGACCTGCATTTTCGAGCGGAGAACAACGAGCTGGAACACCGAGACCTTATTCCCCGACAGGACGACTTACGAAAGGCTGTTCACATGATACGACAGGACAGCTTTCCTTTGCTGTACTACGAACTCTTATTTGCTGAACTGACTTGCGTACGACCAGACCCGGATATGCGAGCTGAAAACTACAACCAGGAAGATCGAGTCCTTATTCCTCGCCAAGCCGATCTACGCCAGCCATTTATGTGTTGCTTCTCGAAGCGCTTTTTCTTTTTGTATGTACATCTTTCGAGACATTACGTCTTTCGGTCCCATCGATACCACTGTGCGTTTAGGTAGTGCTTTTCGAGGCGCCGTTTCTCTTTGTATCGTCTTTCGAGACATTACGACCTTCGGCCTCATCGGTTTCATGGAAAATCTAGGTATTCACTTGGGCCTTAGGGCTTCTACCGGACTGTTCCCGCGCATGCGAGACATGACCGTGCCACACGTACCGCTGGGACGAGCCGTTGTGGCGCGAACAGCTCCAAGGATGCTGGCAACTAGTACTTCTGCTAGGACCACGACATGCTGGGTGGTCGCCGCGTTGGCCGTGGTGCTTGTTCCTTCCTTCATCATTCAGATCCACACCTTCGCCCGGGCTGATGAAATACACCTGCACACGGACGTCGAAAAGCAATTGGATGACATAAGCACGGGTCGTGATAATTCTAAAGTTCATCTCGAAGATGATCCCACGTTTATTTCCCCGCAGGTAGCGCACGTCGAGCACCTTCTGGCCACTCGCGTTTTAAAGAATACCGGGCAGGAAGAACGCGATGTGGAGTTGTCCTCGATCATGGAAGTAGCAGGTGGCGCTGAAGGTCGTGGTCAACATCAGCGCCAGTCTGCTACTTCCGGAGCTGCAAGAACCTCTGCAATTGATGATGATACACGGCACGAGCAGGGGGCAGCGGCCGCTCGCGCTGCGACGTCCCAGGAGGACGAGTCGGCCTCAGCATCCTTTCTGTTGATGCCAACGAGAGAGGAACAGGAAGAGCAACTACATGCGCAGCAGGCCGGTACTAGTACAAGTGTAAGTGCTTCTGGTTCCGGTGCAGGAAATGATCTTCAAGCGACGACGGCCCAGCAGCCGTCATCGTCCAGCGGGGGAGCTAGTACAACGATGATCCAGGTGGCTGCACAACAACAACAAGAGGAACCAGCACGGGCTGCTGGTGTTCCTGTTGCAGCACCAGCAGCTGCAGGGGCCTTATCGTTTGAGGAGCGGTTGCGCGCACTGGAGGAACAGAACCAAGCGCAGAGGGAAGAGATCGAGCACCTACAAGCGCAAGCGGTCACCCATGCTACCGCGGTGAAGAATATCCACAGGAAATTTTCCACACACGTACCAATGCGGTGTCTGCATGACAAAATTTTGTTTCATTTCTATTCAGCATGACAAGTGGCATGCTCCAAGTTGGTGACATTTGTGATGCATTTTGTACATGTGCAGGAAATTTGCATTGCATAAAGAAACACGATGCGCAATTCCACGCGACGCGTGACATCGGTTCTTTGACGGACGAGATTATGACGTACCAGTACGCCGTGCATATCTCCCGTTTGCGGATCGACTACGTGCACACGATCGTGTTTGTCGGGTACGGCTTCCTTTGCATTCTGGTCGGCCTTATGCATTGCAAATACGTGGTCATCTGGGTGGTCTGGAAGATTGCAAATGTTTGTGATGCAGAGTCTGCGTCACACAGAAGGTCTGGCATGCGAGCCCCAGCAACACAGGTTTATTTGAGCAGGTTTCTCAATGTATGCCTAATCCGCATGACAAATCCACCCTTTCTTCGGAGACCAGAAAAAGGGCCACTTTTGCTCCCCGTGCATGACAGATTTTTTCATGATCTAAATTGCGCATGACAAGTTGCATCTTTATTGCAGACCCACCAGACATTTTTGCAATCCATAGGCCTGCTGTACCCCTGCTGGTTGGTCTTCATGCCCATGTCCTACGACGACGAGTATTTGATGCTTCCGCACGACTTCGTGTATCAAATGCAAATATGTCTGGGTCTGGAAATTTGTAATGTTAAAAGTGAACGGTAGACGCACTGCAATACGCAGCTATGCATGACAAATTTTATTTTGGCTTCCATGTCTTGTTACGTATTCCGCATGGCAAACTGCTTTTGCATGACAGGCAAGAGGGCCTTTTCGTGCCTATGCAACACAGATTCTCGAGTCATGCCAGACAAGCATGACAAACTTGCACTCTTCAAGACCCAGACATATTTGCATGTCATATCGTCTTGCAGGGAACCATTTCGTCGGTCACCCAGAGTACGAAGACCGGACAGGGGCGTATTTGGACCACCTGTCTCGTAGCGCAGCAAGTCTGTCTGCTTCTCTCCCGCTACACGACGGTGATCTATGACAGCCGAAATTCGATTAGCGAATACGACGTGAAAGACAATTGGACGGGTAACGAGGGGCAGCTGACTGTTCGAAAACCGGTCGCATTCCTGGACAAGGCGCGAAACGTCATCAACCGCGAGCCTTTTCACTACATCGTCCTGCGGATTATCTGGCTGGTGGTCCCAGCGGTCTGTCTGATTTTCACGGCCGCGGTTCCCAGCGCCACCGATGAAGAAATGAAAGCACTCTCGTCCTCGCAAATAAGCGAGGGGACGATCCCCGGACGAGAACAAGACGAGCCAGGCGAAGGTAAAAATGCCGAACGCGAGCAACTACAGGAGCAGCAGCAGGAGCCGCATGACAAATACGCCAATATGCACTGCAAAAGTATCGTACTAATGTAATAAATCGCATGACAAATAAGTTCCTCAGCATGAGAGAGAAAATTTGTAATGCGGATTTGTCTTGAAAAAGACATAATTATGCATGAATACGATTATGACTACGAGTGCGATGCTTTTGCACAGGATATCCAACGACAAGGTGCAAGAACTTGGAACATCAGTACGAGGGTGCACAACTCCCCCTCCCCCTCATTTGTCATGCAAAATACCAAATTTACGCCTCGGCTCTTGGCATTGTTTGCATGACAAGTTCTGGCAGCCCAAATAGCACGATACTCGTGTCCAAATTTGTCATGCCAAACCTGTACTCTTGCTGACGCTTGTATTGCTGCTCATGCAATACAAATGAGGGGGAGGGGGAGTTGTGCACTCTCATAATCTGCAAGGGACCGCGAGAAGACGACGCCGGACGACGTAGTAAATCAAATCGCCAGGGCCAACGCAATGTTCAAGACGGTCGTGCACCGGTACGGAGCCACTGTTGGCATGGGGACCCTACTCATTTTCGAAACCTGGCAGCTCTTCTGTTACTCCAGTAACGGGCCCCCAAAACAGGAGCAGAAGAAACTTGAAAAAAACCTTAAAAAAACTTGAGCACTTTTGATTTATGGCATTGCAAAAAGCAGAAATCAAGAGGGGCGACCGGAGGACAAAAAAAACGCACGGGACGGACACGATTTCCGGTTTCTAAGAATTGCAATCGCGGCGGCGATTTTGAAAAACTAAGTTAGGTGAAAGGCGGGCGCAAATTCAAAATCCAAGAACTCAAGCGGGGGCTTTTTTTTCATTTTATAGCGCTCCAAAGTCCAAATCTGTGCCGCAGGAATAGCCATCCATAATGTTCACGCGAAGGCGCCGCGTTTGCAAAACTTTAAGCGTGCGACTAGGGGCAGATATTTTCCGCAGACATGGGGCAGCATTTCGCACGAACTAGACGCCCGCGGGGCGCGGCTCTTTTTCATTTAGGTGGGGGCCGCCTCGATGCATTGGCTGCGCCGCTCGCGGGGATGTTCAAAGTCCCTGTTTCGCACGGGCTCGGGCTGCCTGGGTGCCCGAGCTTGGCGGGGTGGTGGGGCTCTGGCTCTCGCGAGGCGTTTTTGTAGTGCCGAAGCGGCCCCACTTGGAGTGCCACTCCTAGCGCCCAACGCCGCCCGCCCGGGCTGGCGCGCCCCCTCGCTCCGTGCGGCCTGCCGGTCTTTTTGGGGTACCGGGCTCGGCGGCCTTTTCGGCATTGGCTGGCTGCCGCGCAGCGATGGATCGGGCGGGCTGATTAGCGGCAGGCGCGTTTTTTTTTCTGAGTATTACCGAAAAAGCACCGAAGGCGGCACCCAAAACAACCTACGCCTGGTCTGAGTCTCGACATTGGGCAGCTTAGGTTGGAGCGGCCAATTGTCCGGATTCGGGTCGTGTTTTGATTTCAAAGCAAGTCGGCTTTGGTGCCTGGCACTAAACGTGAAAAATAGTATGAAATGGCACAAAAAGTAAAAGCGTCGCACCGTGCCGCGGCTTGTCCTCCTGTTGTTGGTTTCAAAGTTGGGCGCGTCGCAGGTGCGCTCGCAGAGCAGCTCATGTTGAAGCTGTCGCGACCCTCGCGAATATGGGTCGCGCAAGTCTTTGGCAACTTGATTGCAAGTTTCGATCTCCATAAGGTTGGGGGTCCGTTCCACCAGTAATTCTGGGTCGAAGATGTAAATTTGGGCGTGGCGCTGTTCGGTTGTCTTGGGACCATCAGACCGGCCGGGAATTCCGACTCATCTCTCTCTATCACAGGAGAAAAGTGTATACAGTTACACATTTGTTGGAATTTCCGCATCACAAATTTTCTTTGTGTGGCAGAGAAAATGAAAACTTGTAAATGGAGAGATCATAAGGGAAAATAATACGTACTAGGAAACGGGGCCCGTGAGCATTTCGATTTCCTGCATGACAAAGATTGTCTGTCTTGCGGCTCCTGCAAGAACACAAAGTGCAACTGTAACACTTACACTTTTTTCTCACGATAGCCTCTAGCTGGACTGGTGTCGGCAGCGCGAAGCTTGTGGTATCGCAAGAAAAAACTGTTTCACTGTGAACTTGTGATGCAGAAAGTGTATCGCAAATAATGTGTCTGTCTTGCTACACATCATGCAAGATAATGCATTTGTGGGCATGTTTTCCCTTAGGAAGCTCGCATGGCAAACGACCTCTGATGTAGGGCACCAAACTTGTGATGCAAAACTTGCAAAATCATCACAGTGAGCCAGTTTTTTCGTGGGATTTGCGGCGTTGGAGCAATACTGGAAATTTTACTTTGTTCGCGCTTGGCTGCTCCTTTCTGGTTGGGCATTTTGTTTCCTGTTCCTGGTTTGTACTTTCGTGTTAGGAACGCGGAAGAAAAAGGGATTTGGAGGGCAGGAGGTGCTACTGGGAGGGTTTCGCCGCCGCGGAGCGGTTATGGGTCTGGTGCATAAAGAGACCACTCTCTACCTGCCGCGGGCCGCCTTTTTACTGGAAGTCGGTGCGGTGCTGGCCGTCTTCTCTCTGCCGTTCCTGCCGATCCTGACCGACTTTGCCCAGGCCAAGAGGAATATCAGAATGAAAAATCCCCCCTCCCCATATCAAAACGAAGTTTCTGATGCTGGATTTGCGTGCACAAATCAGATTTGTCTTGCTGGCGAGGACTGCAGGCCCATACTAAGCCTGAGTAGACAGGTTTTGGCCTAGGCGCTTAGCATGGCAGGCGTCTACGCTGTAGGTGCAACAGCATGACAGACAGCCTGTAGAAGAATGCGGCGGAGCCTGTGGAGTTGCCTTGATGCAACACAGAGACGATTTGTGGTCACAAATCAGCAACGCAAATTTTCGAAAAGATGCCGTGTCAATATGGGGAGGGGGGATTTTTCCTTTTGATAAGGAAGCTGCACTCTTTTACCTCTATGGGCTCGGTGATTTTCGCGGATCTGGGTGAAGAGATCTCTTATGCATTGCATATATGTCTGGGTCTGGAAGGTTGGAACTTGTGATGCTCACTTTGCATTATAAAAAAATCTGTATTGCATGACCAGCAAATAAAGGAGCCCAGTTACACTTTGTGCTACGCGGGGAGGGCATTTGTCATGCGGGAAAGGCATCAGGAAGGCTTCTAGAAATATGTGATGCTAGAGCATGCATTACAGACATCCTGGGGCATGCAAAATATGCATGACAAAACTGGCGACCTTCCAGACCCAGACACTTTTACAGTTGAGATTTCCCGATTGTACGACATGTTCTGGGTCATTCTGGTAGAGTGCGGCACTTTTTGGGATTTCGTCGCGCGGCCGCCTGCTTGCAGGGACCAAGGTGGTGGGAAGTGGAAATACTGGTTCGAAATGACCATAGACGAAACAATATCCTGAGTAAAACTGACGTCTGCTCCACCTCCCGAGAGTTGTCATGCAGATTTGCGACTACGGGAGCATTTGTAATAAATTATGCGCATCCCCAACCCCAATGGGAAGGGAGGCACTTCCAGTCGTGTTTCGGCATTTGTAATGCTGCAGACAGGATCAGCAGATGCAGATGGATTTTTGATGCGGTTGTCCTTGCAGCTAACGTGCACTACACTACAGACTGTAAGAACTTGTCATGCGTGGCTCGTCCCAAAGCTTCTAGATTTGTGTTGCTAAGTTCCCAATCATTGACTATGGGGTGTTTATGTACTAGAAAAAAAGACCAAATTTTTAAAGCACAGAGAAACTTTTGACTATGGGGTGGCGACGTTTTTGCATATGATAGACCAACCCCACAGCTGTTGCCGACCACACACCCTACAAGCCAAACGACGACAACTGGTGGGGAAATGCAGAAAGTGGCACACCTCGTTGAAAAACAGGGAAGGCGGTCTTTTGAACATATTCTTTCTCTTTCTTACATTGACGATGAGCAGCCCAGGGTGCTGGCGCGATGACACAGACCAAGTAGAGATGAAAACAACTTTAAACAAAGAAGACGAAGAAGAAGAAGAAGCAGCTACTTATAATTAGTAGTATGTAAAAAATTATACACAACTTCTCAAACAAGAAGTTACAGGGGCCGACGACGACCAGAGTAAAAGTCAAAAATGACAGCGTTGCATGAACAACATTTTGAACATCGACATACTCCTGTTACTGTTCGAGGTCAATAACAATAGCAAGCGTGTTTCTGTCTTTGTTCCTGTAAAAGCTATATACGAAGCTGAAACGCAATCGGACAGACTGAGCTTCAAAATTATGAAACTGATATTTTACTAAGCGGCTTGCGCTTGATTCCGTCGTCGATCTTTTTGTAATAAATTAGATATAGAAAATGAGTTAGAGTTGCAGCTGCCCTTTCTCATTACGAAAGCAAGGTGGGTGCTGCCCGTAATAACAAGCAAAGTGGTTGCAGATGCTCAGGATCATGTGTCTTCTACTTCTAGTAGTAGGAAATAATGATCCAGCACGACCAATTATCGCCGCCTTGCCATGAAAGCGTCGCAGTCTAGTATCGTGGTAGAATGAAAACAGCGAGCGTTCTTTTACTTATGTAGTTTCAAGTGCAACATTTCTGTGTAAGTCCAAGTCGAGGTGGCACTACCAGGAGTTGAGTTCTACGGCATTATCAAGATGATGATGAATGTCCATGTCGCAGTTGTAAGCTTTTCGTCTCGTCCGAGTCCGGGATTTTTATATGCCCTGCTCCTCGTTCTCCTCGGTCCGGGCCGTGCAGATGGAGAAAGAAGTATTTTTTCCGCTGTGCCGGGGGCGACAGCAGAAGAAAAAGAAATAGAAGAGCAGCAGCCCCCTGCCAGTTCGGCTCCTTCGGATGCACGACAAAATGAAAAAAGGAACACTGACGAGCATCTTCCCTTCCCCTGGTGGGACTACTTTGGACCCGTTTCTCTGCGGCAGCTTGCACTGGGGCTGGATCATGGCGGGACCAGAACAACGACGTCTCGGACGCGCTCCGAGCTCCTGTATCGTGGAAATCCTTTTTTCCCTGCAGCCCATACCTAAAAGTAAAATGGAAAAGGAAAAGTCTGTGTTGCTGATTTAGATTTGCCGCCACAACAGAGGTGTCCCGCGCATCATTCATGGCGAGGCAGATATAAGTAATCTGATGCAGCTGTTGTTGTTCTGATTTGCGTACTACACAAAAAATCCGCCTCCTGCATCGCAGGTTTCGCTTCGAATAAATATGGGGAACAAGGGGATCACTTTCTTTCATTTTGATATCCTAAACGGCTTCACCTGGGGAGAGCTGGTAGACATGCAGCCACCGTTCGCGACGGTGTCGCTTAAGGAACGTGAACACGAGATGCTGACGAAGCAGAATAACGACTACGAAGATAAAGAACCTGCGCGGCCAAGTACAGCGTCTAGTACTACAACTTCGACTTCCCCAGCGCACGACACGACCATCAAGAAGGCGATCCCGAAGCGAAACTCCGAGGTTCTCATGGCGAGAATCCAATCACCGACCGAGCGGTGTCGCAACCGCCTTGCCATATCCTATGCAAAAGCATCGCACTGGTAAGCTTCGAAGTACTACTAATTATGCAGTTACTGCATGACAAATGTTTTTTTTCATCATAACCAGCATTACAAATTCCGTTTTTCGATTTGGGAAAATTTGTAATGCATTTCCTACGTAGTGCAATACTTTTGGTTTTGCAGTGCATATGCCACCTATGACGCCGAGACGCAGGTCGGCGACGCAAAAGGCAACCAGTGGACCCAAGTACTACTACACAGGTAGTTTTGCTTGATGAAAAACTACGAGTGACGAAAAGATCACGTTCATCCATCATCTAGCTATTTTTCGTCTATCCCACGTAGACGTACTACGACCTGCGCATGAAGTAGTACTTAGACAGTAATGCCAAGCAGATTTCTCACGATGTTTCCGCAAAAGTAGAGCTTTTTTTTCACTGACACAGTTACTTTCTACCTGCAGTAGAGGAGGCCTGAAGAATTTACAACCTGAACCTTGTACATTTTCAGGTCATCAGTGAGTTCAACATTCTAGCCTGTGTATGCATTGCAACTATGTAGTCTGGGTCGGGAAAGATGCTTGCACATTTGCGATGCGCAAGAATTCGTTGGACCCCGCGGAACATCTATCACTCGTGGTGGACAGCAAGAGGCGCCCTGCTCACTTCTTGTATACCGAAAAAGGTGACTTCGAATTGTCATTCGGATTAGAAGGCAACATTGAGATGTGATGTTGCTACAACTAGGGCTTCGGCTTGCAGTGCACGCGAGATGACCTTCCGGGTCAGGTACCAAAAGGATGACAAACTTATGCAGTAATATCTTTCCGACAGCCAGGCCGAGACATGTTTGCACTGGATATTGTGGCGACCCGCGGCTTGACGGGGCTTCCCCGGACCGCATGGAGTACAAAAACGCCGACCGTGAGAGCGGAGAAGCATATCCACCATGAAATCAACGTGCGTCACCAGTGCTGCACTGGTGCATGTTAAGTTTAAGCGCTTTCACAGTAAGCAGTATCTTCGCGCGTGTTTTCTTTTCTTGTTCACGTGCTGTTGCACTTACTTATCCACTGATTTACTAGCCAGGGGGAAGGAATCTCTATCCCGAAGCGAAATCGAGAGCACTGGGAGGGGGGAAGCAGAACTAGAAGGAAAGGACGGGGGGGAATGGTACGGGTGTGTCAGCTAGTCAGTTTCAGGTAGCCACTGGGGTCCTGGTTGTTTCGATGAGATTCGAGACGCGGCCGCTCTGCTCTTGGCCAAATTATATATTTGCGGAGCTCTTGCGGATAATTCTGGCTATGGAGCGGCATTTAACTTGGCAAGTCGCTGGCTGCCGATCTTATTTTTCCGCAGGTGTGGGCCGTTTTGTGGATCTTTGCTTGTGCGTTTATTTTGAGAACTATGCGCGTTTGAAGATCATGGCGCGCCTCATATTTTCCGCGGCGGGACTTTCTCGGAAGCTTGGCCGGAGCTTTTGCGTAGAAAGATCGGGAGGGCGTTCGCGCCGCCTCCTTCTCTATGTGCGAACAGATTCCGGCGGCCATTTTCTCCCGTGTTTTCTTGTGTCTGTTGCGGGGCCTGTTTCTCTATCTGCGAACAGTTTGAAAACCACGCAGAAGCGACGAGGCAAACGGCGGAACACAACGAGGCGGGGAGGCCAGACCTTCGGGACAAGGAAGATAGAGACGGGAAAGAGTGGAAAGACGAAAAAGGCGGGAAAAACTGAACAGACTGCGAGAACTGGGAGGGCTAGGGAAGCCTGTAAGAAAGACTGGGGCGGCTGAGGGGGCTGAGAAGCTCAAAAGGCGAATGAGGTTCGAAAGGTTGAGCAAACTGGAGAAGCCGGGAAGGCTGAAAACCTGGGAAGGCGGGGAAACGAAAGCGAGCAAGCCTGGAAGCGAAGGCGCTGACTTGCTGAGAGGCCTCGGCGTCGCTTTTGCCTAGAGCTGGAGGGCGTTCGCGCCGCCTCCCTCTCTATGTGCGAACAGATTCCGGAAGCTGTTCCGCGTTTCTCTTTGTTGCGGCGGCTGTTTTTCTGTCATAGAACTGCTAAGGCAACCGAGAGGCCAGCAGCTCCATGGAAAAGTCCGGCGGCCGCAGAGCCCAAAGGAGGCGCGGCGGGGCCCCGTTGCTGCAGCTTCGCAGCTTCAG